AGTAACTAATTCTCATAGATTTGAATTGCATTTAAGCCTAATAAAAGGCGAGTTTTTATGTATGATCGAATACACAGTTTATCCATTGAAAAACAGAGCTGTTCGAAAAGTTAATTATAGATTAATTACAACGAGCACGAGAAAAACTTTTTATTGGTAATTTAATGCACAACAGATGTCACTATTAAAACAAACCGGCGCAAAGAATAGAAACCGTTCAGCTAAAATTTTGCGCACGTGTTGCCAAAACTTTTTGACGACCCTATGTAAAACTCGTAAATTTAAATTTCTTTTCATAATTTCCACAACATGATGAGTTGAGATGCAAGGATTTGGATTTCTCTATACATTATTATTCGGAGTCAAATTTTTAGAAGTAAACTAGAAGATCAAAGAAATCAGTAATTTTTTTCCCTAATAGTTGAAATTCTAAGCAGCAATCAGATGTTTACTTCGCTGATCGTTTAAACTCTAATCAGAAATGAGAAATGATCACTCAGATTAAAGGTTAACATATAAACAATCGCATAGTTTGTATGCATCGGTCAAAGCTTAATAAGATACACGGCATTTTTCGATGAAGTATATACTTATAAGTTAAACAGATATTCAATGAGAGGAAATCTGTAACAATGAAATAAAAACCGACGGCATCAAATTTTGTGATTATAGAATAGAATAAGCATTTTTAAACCGCTTGATCATATGAGCTATCAGAACTCCGCGGGACGACCAAAAAGCCGTCCAGTCTCATCTCGTCTCACTTTTCACTTTACTCTTAAGTCAATATCATTAATTTTAGCATCTAGATGTATTTAACTAATATTAACATACCCAAAGAACTTGTATCACAAAAATTTAATACTTGACAAGTATCCTCCGTCAGAAAGAACTATATAAGTTTAAATGCTGTTCATCGCGTGGCCGTTCTAACGAAAAGTATGCTGTTCAGATTTTCTGAATTGATTGAAGCTCTGAGTTCACTCATAATGCGTCCACCTCCGTTGAATTCCCGCTCAACTGCGGATGTCGTCGCAGGAATACAATGAATTCTTCGTGCAAGTTTCGATAATAGTGGCAGATTCTTCTGATTTCAGTTCCAGAAAAGTAAAGGATTGTCGACGATCAGCTCGGGGCCCATATGCATTGACAAATATTTGTCGATTTCTTCCTTATCGTCAGGTTCGTTGTATTCGTCGCTGTGGTTTCCGCTTTCATATTCTTGATCAAATCTATTTATCTCTTTGGCGGTGGTTCATTTCAATAATTCAAGTAAACGAAGTCGAAAGAATTGAACCCCTGAAACCAAAGAAACAGTCTTGCTTCTATTATGTTATGACTGTTCATATGATATGCTGCATCAGATAAAATTATTAGGCTTACCATCTGACTCTCCGACTTCGATATCATCTTGATCATCATCACTTTCTTTTCTTTTTGCTGACATATTGTCAGGGTCGTCGTTTTCTTTGTTAAAAACGGTCAAGTCTTCAAATGAACTTAATATTTAACGTAAAGTCATAACACAAATAAGAACTAGGTACAGTGGTGGTTCATTTCCTTTTTGCACAATGGTTATACTGTGCTCGAATGGACCTAATAAATATACAAGGCGCTTAATAATCGATCGGTCGGTTACAAATGATTTCTTCTTCTTCAGCAAAATCTTTTTGGTTTCTTTGAAAGAACGATCAATTCATTCTAATAATTTCATTATTGAAAACCAGCGGATTTTACTTGATTGACACAGGCTAAAACCGCCAGCAGATTGAATATCTTTGTTGAATCCATTCTAGAATATGAACACGAGAAACTATAAATTGACATATCTTCATTGATAAACTTACCAGTTTGACATATTTTACGAGATCTTTGCAACTGTTGAGAACTTTCAACACTTCTCAAGCAGAATGAGGTAGATCTTGAACTTTTGTTTTTGACGTGTCGACAAAATCAGTCTCATCAATCTCGTTATGCAATGCATTACAACCAAGAAGATCTCCTGAGTCGGTTGCATTTTCATCTGTTAACTCTGAATAATTGTTTTTTTTTTACTTTTAACTGACTCATTCTGATGGAAACATAACATCAATATATTGTTCAGCCGATGAGCAAACAGAAATATGAAGAATAGTTCTTCATTGCTTTTTATGACGTTCGAACCACGATCCGTAACAAATTTAAGAAGCGGTAAAACATTGACGTTGAATCGTCCTAATGCTTTGCCTAACGCCTAAGAAATATAAGTATAATTATCAGGAGAAGAGAAAAAAGATACTCACCATGATGATACTTGCAGCAGTCTTATTCTCTTCTTCAAATGGAAAACAGCAAAAATCGCTCGGAGGAACCGGAGAGTGTTGCGTATAACAGGTTGCTCATTAAGGAGGGGTGTTCAATCAGCGGAATTCTACTGTAATGAATTTATTAAAGAAGTGTATGTATACTTTCTTTTAAATTAAACTAGAGACAAAAAAAGAAAGCAAACAAATAATATTAAGTCATTCGAATATCAAATTGTAGGACTCGATGATTATAAGAGTCTGCTATAAGAAGATTACCATCACCATCGAATGCCAAGCCTTCTGGACCATTCAATAGTTTTACAGTGTTACCCAAACCGTGTGAATTACCAACAATAACATCCCCATGTGACGCGCCATTGTACCATCGCATCACTCGATTATTCCAATGGTCGGCTACATAGACTGTACCGAGCTGATCGACGACTATTCCTGCTGGACAATTCAATTGTGTGAGATTATTTCCGATGTCAGTGTTGCCAGCTACGACAATACCGTCTTCCATATCTTTCTCCCATTTCATTACACGATCATTCCAAGAATCTGATACATACACAGATTGATCTCGATCAACAAAAATGTACGTGGGATGATTGAGTTGATTGAGATCACTACCTTGTCCATTGCCACCGGCAACTACAGTTCCTTCTCTATCACTATTGTGATATCGTCTCACCTCATGTCTTTTTGTATCTGAAATGTAAAGTGATCCTTCGTTATCCATAGCCAATCCACGACATTCGATATTGTCTTTGATTATCTGTAATTCAGCACTGTTTCTAGGAGACCATCGTAATACTCGTCGATTCTTATAATCAGAAATAATAAGCTGTTTTGATTCCGTGTCACAAATTACATTTGAAGGTTCAGACAATGAATCATATCTATATCCATTTCGATTTTTATCAACTAATATTTGCAAACTTTTTGTCCTTCGGTTTATTAGCATAATACGATGATTCAAAGTATCAGCAATGACGATAGCTTGATTATCGCGACTCATACAAAGACCTCGAGGACAATAAAGTTCATTCGTTGTAGATTTATAGTTCTTACCACCGGCAATAAGAAGAGCGGTATATTTCCATTTCGAATTGTACGCAATATTGGGTATTCCTACAAGACGAAGTTGTTTTATAAGTTAAACAGATTGATTGAGCCTAACGTGAATCCGAAATTGAATTAATGCTGTAGATAGCTGTATTTAAAAATACGATTGATATGTGGGTAAAATAGTGCGATTTACAATCTGCTGAAGCAGATTTGTCTTGTTTTTTAAATATTATACTGATATTTATAAAATGATATAACCTACTTTTTGCAACTATTGAATATACAAGTAACATTCGTCATTGGGACTGACTTAATCCTCAACTGTGTAGTAGAGAGAACGAACTAGCCTAGTATGTTCGGACAGTGGAACATTTCAAATCTTTGCTTAAGTTCTAATCATTACCTCCGAAACTAGGCGCGAACTAACGACTTCTGTATATCCTCAAAATGCGCCGCATGATGACACACGAGTACACGGAAAATGTGCCATAATATTTTTTCATGCGTATCACCTTGTCTAAAGTCAATGGAACAAAGAATCAGACTTACTAACACTACTATTTGTGTTTATCATCACTTTGTTGAGGTAGACTGGTTCATGTTGTCTTATTCCATTTATAGTTAACGGCTCCTGCATTTGATTGCTTTGTGTTAACACATCGTTCGTTATGAGTTGGAAAAGATCTCGAACATCGATATTTTCTTTAGCGACATGTTTTAGTAATTTTTTACTAAACAAATCATCACGAGATGTTTTATTAGCAGCGCAGGATAACTGAATCAATGCTCTTTCAATTGGTTGAATTTCATGTAGACCTCTACCTCCATCTACACCTAAACAGAACGAAAGATTCTCTTACAAAATCATTAACGATATTATATACCATGTGATTCTGATTTGCCAATTCGCCAAAACGGTTTACAACAGTCTAAAATACATACAGTTATATGCGATGAAGTTTTCTCTACTAGACGATCGAATATGCTGTCAAAGCTACAAGCCAAGTCCAGTACATCTGTATCAGTACCTATTCTATCATCATAAATAGGTATTAAATAATTTTGGTTGTTCACTTGATTGGCATGACCAGAATAGTAGAACACAACTAAGTCATTATCTTTGATGTTGTGAGCGAATTTTTTAACATTTTCAGATAGTTCTTCGCTCGTACGTACATCAATGTATAGTGTAATATTAAAATTCATTCTTTTGAGAATAGTTGACAGCTCCACAGCATTGATGATCGATTGACTTAGTTGATTTTTCGATCGACGGTAATTTCCATTACCAATAATCAATGCTAACTTTTGATAATTAGATGAACTCTTTGCTGAACTTTTCATAGTAAATCTATATCTGTAACAGTATGTAAAACGATCTTCATGACTCACAATCTTTATCAGATTCTTAAATAGAAAAAAAGAAAACTAATTTGGTTTTGAAAAATGATGTTATGGGGGAATTTATGGGAGATGTTGAGAACGACTCAGATGATAGGTTTCATAAAATTAAATATTATCTTAGAACGAAATAATTGATTAAAATCAGATACTGTTTTTATTGATTTATTTACTTTTTAGTTTGAAATAGAGCACATGAATTTGCACAAAAAATTGATATGAAAGTGTAGACTTTTTTCCTAATTTCAAGCACAGTAGAACAGGAGTACAGGTTGTTAAAACTACTCAATCTGCAGCTCTTTAACTCTAGGTAGTATCTAAATATATGTCTATGTGAAAATGTCCGCGAAAACTTTAGTAGTGATGGATATCATTATCTAATTAGTTTGGGATGTTTCGTATTTCAATAAGTTACAAATATCTACTTTTCTACATTACAATAGACATACTTAACTCAACATGGCTGCTTTTTGTCTTCTAAACGAAACAAAACAAAGTTTTTAATGAACCAAAAAGAAAGTGGAAATTTATGAAACATGCTGTATTATCTATTCACTAACTTTGACTGCTTCTTTTTTTTTAACATATGAGATCATTTCAGCAAACGGTATATATTTGTCGAAAGAAAAAATTACTTATTACAAAAAGATGATTATTTAGTCATGAAAAGGCGCTTATGCCACAAGGCCATACGGGAGAAAGAAAAAATCATTTTCCTTTTGCTTGTTTACGTAATCAGGATGGGGATTTTTTTCATTATTTGTAGAGAATTAATGGATTCTGTTTTCACTCATTTGTTTACAATAACTGAAAAACACAAAATTCGATTTTTTTTGTTATGTCGTTGTTTACATTATTGTACTCGATGCGTCAATCTATAAATATCTTTCCACACACATTTTACGATACAGCTCTTATATGTTAAAATCTTTTGTTTATGAAATGTCGAAATGCGTATTCAAAAATGCTCGATCATACCTGGTGCACATTGAATTCCGCAAATGACTGCCAACAGAGTCTAGCAAAACAAGAATGGGAATAGGGATCTCAGAGAAAGAAAACATGGACACGCTCTTGCAAATGCATCTATGTTCGTTTACATTCAGATGATGGAATAGGTTTGAATCGTAATTCAACAGGTATGGATAGTTTTTTATTCTCTGTTCTAATAATGAAATGTTTGTTTAGCATCGGAATATTGCTTTTTTTTGCCAGTTAGGTGGAAGTTACAAGGTAATATCATAGCGGAAATTTTCGAACGTTCGCTCGGGATGATGATTCTAATGTAATGTTTGAAAACAGTGACTATCATATTGATTTCCGATGTACAGATTTGCACGTCATTTCAATTGGAGATATTTTTCTTCTATATTGGTACCCGGGTTATGAGATACAATCATAATTAGACGAAAGGAACAATTATTTTTGATGGTGCATTGTCAAATGTCTATGGATGATCGTTGGTTGTGGATAAAACTGGAAATATTCTTTTGAGTACGAGTGAAAAGTTCATTTTAGTAATATCAGATGGAAAATTCAATGCGATGGTTCTCAAGGAATATTAGACTCGTGAAGATGATGGGAAATTAGACCCTTTGCAATGGTATTTGATAAAATGGGAAACCTATTTGCTATGACTCTCACAGGTCGAATTCTGAAACTTAACAGAACATCGACTACGTGTTCAAACACTTCTTCGAATTAACGCTGTTTTTATTTCAAATAAAAATAATCATGAATATGTTTCTCTCATCATCATCATCAGGTGTTTTCACTGTGGACTCACTCTTGAATTTCGGAAACACGTCGTTTTAACAATAAGTATAACAACTAATCGACATATATAGACCAATGAATGTTGTTACTCCTTCGAAAATATGATTTTTCTTCATGTATGAAGCAATACATACTGATGGTGAACATGAATGAAAATAATTTACATAATTTATTTTATACGCCAACTTTTCAATCATAAGATCGTTTATAATTGCTTCAATTGTTTGATTTAACATGAATCGATCTGTCGAATCAATGCACGTTTGATTGTAAAAACATTGTAATGTTGTTTGAAGAATTGACTCCATCGGAGAACAACCGGTTAACATTCCTCGAGATAAAATGACACATTTAGATGACGATGAACAACTACATCGATCGTATATCAATGGTATCATGTGTACAAGCGTCTTGTTGAAATTTCTCGGCAGACGATCGAAAGCCCAGTTAGTAAGATAAACATTCATTAGCACATTTGCATGAGTTATTTGTCGAATTAATGAGAGAGCATTGATGAATGATTGAGAGATTGTTAATTTGAAATCATTAATCGTTATTTGGATTCGTTGATCTAAGAAATACGCTGATAAGAGTTTATGTTCAACCAAATCAGTTCTCCCTAATTGAAAAATTGAATCAAGAACTGTTTGTGTCGATAAAGTACAAAGTGTTGAGAGTAATTGGAATTATCCGACAGCTGAATAATAGAAATCATGTGAAGAATTCGAATACGAACGCCTTTGTACATACAAATAGGCAATCCATCGATCAGAAATCCAATCACTCAAACAAATTTCATGAAAACGTGGTGTAACTTCTAGAAATGTTTTATATTTTATCGATAAATATAAACAAGGACATTCCAATGAGTTTTCGAATTATTTCATTAAATTCTCATAAATTCCAACGAAGGTTTTGCAGGTTCAACACTAATCATACGAGGAACAAAAGCGAAAAACGCAGAAAATATGCAAACATTAAGAATCACTAAGATAACATACAAGCGATGTATCATTCTGCTTTCATTATTGACAACACAGATTTGTCTGATTAGATCCAAAGAAACCAAACGAATTTTGTCAATAACTACCAGTCGAATCAGAATGAATAATTTTAGGACGAATGACAATCCACCAAGTATGCTGAGAATAATGGAAATTGTACTGAAAAACGATTCTCTATCAATGTTAGACCTGCGACAGTTCAAGTTCAATATTTACTAGAAACTAAGAACTTGAAATGCACGACAGTTCTAATTCAAAAGAACTGTAATTCTTCGACGGTTCTAGTTCAAAAGAACTGTCATGGCAAATAAGTTCCTACTCAAAGAACTCGAAATGAACTTGTAGCTTGAAAACTCTCCTATTGTGATATTTATGTTCTTTATTCGATTCTTGATGCGCTTGATATTGAAGAGATATGCATGATCTAACAAGAATCTGCTAGATCGTCGACTGAAACGTGATTCTACCAAAGGAAACGAGTCCCATATTGGTAATCGCAAAGAATCAGATATAGAGAGGCTATCGAACAACGTTTAAGTCGACGATCTAGCAGATTCTTATTAGATTATGCATATCTCTTCAATATCAAGCGCATCAAGAATCGAATAAAGAACATAAATATCACAATAGGAGAGTTTTCAAGCTACAAGTTCATTTCGAGTTCTTTGAGTAGGAACTTATTTGCCATGACAGTTCTTTTGAACTAGAACCGTCGAAGAATTACAGTTCTTTTGAATTAGAACTGCTTAAAAGTTCTAGTTCTATGAACTTAACTGGAACTGTCGTAGGCCTAATCAATGTATTCATATGTGCACGATTCAGGGGCACATTGTTCATAATACGAAGAAAAGGATTGATTTACTGACCATCGATCAACCATTGATCGATCGATAATTTTTTTCAATTCTCTCATTATGTAAATTTTGGCTAGAATCCAGAGTTGAAAAATTGAAATCTATCAAAGATTTGATATACCGATCGACTGTTAACATACAGGATATGTTATAAAAGCATTCGAATGACGACACGGATAGAGATGAAAAGGGATAACAGCCTGAAAAGAAATTGGAAACGACGTACGGTTTTGTAAAAGCATCGTTGACGATTTCAGTTTGAAAATAACAGGATGGTGAGGTAATGCAATTGCAGTGGCGTTGAAATTGGAGATTGACAGAGACTTTTCGGGAATTTGGTTCGATTTGTAAAAGAGCATTGTAATCATTACTAAGAAATTGATTTCCTTCAAGAATTTCTTGGATTAAATGGATAGTTCTTTTGAAATTCGTGATGGTTGTTGACTTTCAATCTTCGACGAAAGAATTAATTTGAATTTGAAAGAATTCTTTCGACAGCGGATGTAAGCTAATCAATTTCGATCGAAGAAAGATTTCCAGCGAATCAATAATGATTTTCTCCGTCTGTTCACAAAGCATTGATAGTAATCGAACATAGCTGATGATATTGCGGCTGAATGGTGAGAAATTCAGAGTAAGGGATCAATATTGAGCTACATGAGCATGAGAATGACCGGAAAGATTGACTCTTCAGTTCAACGAATTCCGATTCAACTGGAGAGGTGATCCTTTTGATTTGGATTGATAATTCGAAGAATTTATACACAGTTAACCCAACAATAGAACTTGCCAATAGAAACAGATAAAATCGTGTTGTATAACGTTGATAACGAATTTGTCGATCAGTATTGAGATCCTCTTGAAACATATTCAGTTCAATTCCTTTCCGTCGAATGTCTTCTTTGAATTGTCTCAAACGGTCTCTAGATAAATATTCATATCGTCATTTCTATCAAAATCTGTTCTCTGTCTACTCACTGCTGATTCGTGGTCGCGGTGTTCGATCTTTCAATCGTAAGATAAAACGTATAATAACGAGAATGATCATTCCGAGTATTAACGTTACAGTAGGTAATAAACTAATGGATTGTTTCATAGCGGAAGTCAAACCTCGTCGTGATGTTTTTACATAGGTGCAAACTAATGGTGCACATTCTGAATAATATGAATCATAGGAAATGTTCGATCATGGAATTTTCAATCATTGTTTGGACATTCGAATCGATTTTATAAGCACTTTTCTTATCTGCTTTCATTGCGTAGAATTTTGTTTTGGTTGAAAAATATGAAATGATTTGATCGACACAATCTTGACCATAAAAGCATTTGAGTGTTGAACTAAGAAGTGAAGACACCGGCAGACAACCAGATAACATTCCTGGGATGATCCATATGTCATCAGCTGGATTGTATGCATAGAGTGTGCCAAATTTGTCGTAAAAACCTAATCTTATATGGTCACAATCTGCTATCAGACAAGAGCATGCAGTGTTAGTTATTTGAGTGTAAATATGCACATATTGTTCTAAATTATCGAAGTTAATCTGGAAATATGCGTTGGTTAGCAATGCAGATCTCAACTCATTATTGATAATCATTTGATTGATTAATTTCACTTGAGATTGAAAAGTGTTCGATGACTTTAATTTCAATTGTTCAATGGCCGAATTCATATGAATGTGAAAAGCATTTTCTGACAGGACTTGTGGACTTAATTATTCAATGTGAGCAAATAAAGAAATGCTCTGCTCAGTGGTTGACTCGGATAAACGACAGAAAGCAGCAAGGGCTTGAAATTGTGCACTGCCGATACGACGAAAGTCTTGAAAAAGAAAATAACTTGTATTTAATTTTAAAACAGTTGTATTTATCCAACGATAACCAACAAAATCACTCGAGCACAGTTGATGAAATTGCGTTTTAAGAGAAACAAACTTGCCATGCAGAATAGAGCTGTTGAATTCGATTCTGAACGACGAGTTTTTATTCATGCTACATTTTCATTACGATTTGCATGAATGTGTCTTGAGTAAGGCAAAGTATCTCTTCATCACGATAACCTCTCACTGTTCGTAGGGGAACTAACAAAGATCTTACAAAATGATGATTTGCCTTATTTCACCTTTGTTACTATACTGAGTGAAAAGAAAAAAATATTACACAACTGACTATCTGACAGACACAAACAAGAGCCGATCCAGGAATGTTTTATCGTGTTATTCGAACCTGATTATCTGACTCAAAATGCAGGTGAAGTTGTTAAATCAATTTATGATGGAGAAGAACTGGATTATCTACGAATCAAATATCAAAATTTAACTGGATTCGGTATGAATCAATGTCATCTGGAATGGAAAACAAGAAAAATCTCTTTGGGTCAGATCGTATATAACAATCCACAGAAAAATTCGAGAAGAATATTTTTGAAAATCTTTCATCGTATGGAAAGAAACCATTGATAGTTCTTTTCACGAAAGATATAAAAATATTTTGGTTTTATTGTCAGTTTATCTGATGTCGCCTTTTAACTCAGTTGAATGTGAACGTGATTATTCAATCGCAAACCGAATACAAACAAATGGACGTTCATGAATTATGATTGAAACACTTGATGTGCTTATGAATGTTTACCTTCTTCGTTCGGATGATTTACGAAGGTAATCTATGGCTTGATACGCTAAGGAAGAATGGTTTCTTCATTTCTCAATTCTCTCTAGTGACAGTTGTCGTAGGATAGTTCACGAGGCATATAATTCATAGAGTAAACCAGATGAAAATCGCAGGATTTCGCAGACAACAGTGCTGTCATCAGAATGAATTTTACGATTGGGTCGAGAATAATTGCTCTAGATGGTTATGTAACACTTGCCAGATTAAATTAGGTATTTCAACGACAACAACTACATGGTTTTATGAAGATTGCATCGACATGCACAATGATGAAGAAGAAGAATGATTTCGATTGCGCTTTTATTTGTATTTTGTATATTTATTAGTAAATATTATTCATGAAAAGTCTTTCGATTTGTGACGAGCCTGACTTATACATATTTATATTTCTACTTTCGCCTTTATCCTCATTCGTGTTTCTTTTGTTATTTTGTCCTGTTTTTTTTTATATGAAAGTGCTTCACTCTTACAGAGATATTGCAAATAGTAGCTTGTTCGGCTTTTTGTGATGTGTTCTGCCTTTGGTACTTTGTGATATTTTGTTATTCGAAGGGAAGTCGCAAATGATACTTCGTTTCAGATTCCTATATTAAAAACACTGGTAATGGTCCATGGGAAATGAATTGACCACAACTAGTAATCATGAGTCTTGCTAAAAAAGGTCTTTTCGATGGTGAACTGCTCGGCATCGGCTGCAGTATTGCTGACAACGCGATCTATATTGTCAAACATGCAAATAATGTTCACTTCATAGGGTTTAATTTGGTAAATTTACTTTCGTTGTTTTTTCTCTTTACCAATAGTTCTGTTTCAGGTTCCAAAGACCATTCAGATTGCTCGTGAAAAAGCTGAAAAGAATCAAGTAAATATTCGATTTGAAGTTGTGAATATTCTTGATGATCTTTTGAAAACCAGTACCATCAAACAACATTCATACGACATATAAGAAAAGGATGAATAAGTAGTTTATTTCTCTATTTGTTTGAATTCAGCAAAAACAATGTTATGATCTGTTGCTCCTTTTGTCTCAATTATTGAGCATTCGTTTAAAATCCATTGATCGGTGACTCGAGGATGTACATAGATATAATCAATCCGAGTGCCAAATCGACATGTTGCGGCTTGTTCATCTTTTATTTGAGGATTTTTTAATCTAAAAACATCTTGATAATTCCATTCGTCTGTGATTAATTTGATTAAATCAAATCGAGGTTTTTCCCATCCAGAGCATTTTCTTTTTCCAACAATCGCATCTTGATAATAATCATCGGAATAATCTTCTCTAGTCAATGCATTCATATCGCCCATTAAGATATCAACTTTTTGTGAATGTGGATCAAATTCTATCATTTGTTTTAATCGATCATCTTCATCATAAGGATCCAAGTGCGTCACGGCAAATGTTCGATCTTTAATAAATGAATGATCACCCTCTAAACAACATTGGAATAAAGATCTTGTTCCAGCTCGACAGAAAAATGTGGACTTTTTATTTGAAGACGATTGAATTGGATAGCGAGATGCAATACCATTACCAAAATATTCTCCCTCACTTGATCCATAAATAAAATATGGAAAAGAAAGGAGTTGACAAAATTTCTCCCATTTTTTATTATTTTGTATTTCTTGAACAGAAATTAAATCAAGATTAAGTTTTTCGACAATCGATACTAATTCTTCGATATTATTTTGATGTTTGTCTGGTGTACTAAATGAATGAACATTAATTGTTGCTAAACGAAATATGGGTTTTCTTTCTGAAGAAGCCATTGCACTCATCGCAGTATCAAAACTGCGAACGATACTTCTACTCACAATACCGTGCTTTTTTTTCTCTCTCCGTCATAGTCAACGACAATATTTAGTGTTATTTTTTCTTTCGTTCTTCTCTTAGTCATGTTTTATTCTCATATTTTGCAATACGTACACGTTTTCCCTCGGAGTCGTTTTTTTCATGGCGAGTTGCATTGTAATATACACATCCAAGCGCAAAAGAACATGGTTAGTGTAATTATTGCTTATTTGTCAAAAGTGATGAAAAGATTTTATCTCTTAAGATCTTCGCGTCAATTGGATGAAGACAATACTATGAACTGTTGTTTATTTTATATCAATTATTAAGTATTCACTTCAAATCTAATATTCCGTGACACGAGGATGTGTCAAATCGAAATGTAACAGTTTTTGAATCTCTGTACATTGAATGAATGTAGATTAATTGTATAGCTAAACAAAAGATTGACATTTCATAAGTGAGAACAACGTATTTATTTCTATCAGAAGTTGATTTGTTTTTTTCTCTCCTCTATTTGATGCCGTTGTCATAATATTTCTGTAATGTTCGTTTTTCACTAGATAACATATTAATTCTATTGAGAAAAAAATAACTTTTAAATAAAGTTCATTCGTACAGATGTCACAGCTGCGTTTTTAAATCGCCATTAAGTGATATGATTAAGTTCAGTAAAGGAAAATATTGAACGCCAATAAATTGAATGTTTTATTCTACAAGCTTCAATTGGTATGTTTTGAACAAAATCTCGTAGATTTATACGATCACTAAATGAATAGATGTTTTTTTTTTATAAATGTGATTAAAATTTATTTATGATTCTTAAGATATAGAATATAGTTCTGCAGTCTTCAACGGTCCACCATTAAATCCTCCAGTAATTAGTATTGTTCCATTTAATAGTACCGATGCTCGATGTCGAAATCGACCATAATTCATACTATTAAGAGTTACCCAAGTATCTGTTGATAAATCATAAACTTCAGCGCTTTTTAAAGCTTCTGTATTATAATATCCACCAGTAATCAATACATTTCCACTGGGTAATGTTGATGCAGTATGATCTCTTCGGACAACATTTATTGGATTCGTTACTGTCCAAATATCAGTTTCAGGATCATATATTTCACCTCTCTTTACATATGAAGGACCCATACCACCCACCACTAATACTTTTCCATTAGGTAATACTGCTGCTGCATGTTCAGATCTTGCGTACTCCATGCCTCGAACAGACGTCCATGCATTTGTTTCAGGATCATATAATTCTGCACTATCGAGATCATCGATAGAAGATCCACCAGCCACTAATACTTTTCCGTTCGGTAACAGCGATGCCGTATGATCACTTCGCGCTTGATTCATGTCACCAGTCATTGTCCAATTCCCTGTTTCAGGATCATATAATTCAGCTGTATTAACATCATCACCAATGTCTATTCTACCACCGGCAGCCAAGACTTTTCCATTTTTTAATAATGTCGATGTATGAAAAAACCGTGGATAATTCATTAGACCAGTATCCGTCCAATTTCCAGTTTTAACATCATATAGTTCACTCGTACCTGATGGGCCAGGATTCACTCCACCACAAACTAAGACTTTTCCATTTGTTAATAGATTAGCCCTATGATACGCTCTTGGACTGATCATATAACCTGTAAATGTCCATTTTTCTGTGTCAGGATCATATATTTCAGCTTCACGAAGGATGTTGTTTTGACGACCACCAGTAACTAATACTCTTCCATCTTGTAAAACAATAGCGGCATGATCCACACGTCCATTTAACATATTAGCCGTATTTATCCACTGTTGAGCAACACATTTGAAACTAATACTGATGAAAAAAACGAAAATGAATTGAAATCTTGTCATTCTAAATGCAGCATACATTGCGAAAGTTATGTAGTATATTTTAATATAGTTTATTTTCTTATCTCACATAGACAGGTGATATTTGAAGTTGTGTTATTCTCATAATAGGAAATGCATTCTAATAGGTGAAAATGTACGCGAAATACACAGATATATCAAAAGTTGTTCGATCATTTTTATTCATGAAAGTAGAACATTTTTTACGTCAAAATACTTCATATATATGCATTTTTTAAATTTATTGTTTCAAGCACATACAAACAGCATAAAAAGGAAAGAAAATAATCATATCATTCCTTATAGACTTTTCATCATTTATTCACATGTTTTCCGTCACTACATAAGTGCAGTTGATGGATCGTATATTTCAGCTGTTTTCAGAAAATGAGTATTCTGATAAGACCCACCCGCTACTAACACTTGTCCGCTTGTTAATAATGTTGCTGTATGATAGTCTCGTGTATAGTTCATATCACCAGCAAATGTCCAAGTTTGCTCTGATGGATCATATAATTCTGCACTACTAAGAGCAGATGCATTATTACCCCATCCACCAATCAATAAGACCTTTCCATCGTTTAATAAAACAGCTTTATGATCAGTTCGTCCGGAATACATATTACGAGTCATTGTCCAATTGCCTGTCGCTGGATCATACAACTCAGCACTTTCTAAAATGCTTCTTTCCATACCACCGGTAACTAAAACCTTTCCATTGAATAATACAGTTGCTGAATGGAAAACTCGGCCCGTATTCATATTGCCAGTAGACGTCCATGTGCCTGTCAACGGATCGTAAAGTTCAGCAGTATTCGTGGCATCAGGAGGAATACCATTACCACCCATAACTAATACTTTTCCATTAGCTAAGACACATGCTTGGTGTGCATCTCGTCCAAAAGTCATACTACCCGTAGTTGTCCAAGCTCCGGTAGATGGATCGTAGATCTCAGCACTTTTCAATTGATTATAATCTTCATCAGTTCCACCCGCAATCAAAACTTTTCCATTTGTCAGTAAAGATGCTGTATGTCCATTACGACCAAATCGTACGCTACCAGTAAGTGTCCAAGTTTCTGTGGACGGATGATATAGCTCAGCGCTAGTGATAGTATCATCATTATTACTACCAGAAATAATTAGGACTGTTCCATTAGTCAATGTGACTATTGCATGACCGACTCGCGAACTATTCATGGCACTAGTCACACTCCATGTTTTATTCATTGGATCATATAATTCAGCTGTTTTGAGGACATGATTAACACCTTTCACACCAATACTATCAGCACCACCAATGACTAACACCTTTTGATTGTTCAAAAGAACTGCTGCGTGTAAACATCGTACATGATGTAGATCACCAGTACGCGACCATCCTGATTTCTTAATCGTTGGGATAACGAAGGGACTCTCATGATTATTATGGTAAAATTTTAATAGCAAAGAAACTGAAATTGTTAACATCAGAAAACAGATGCAAGTAATCTTAAACCGACGATGTTGCCATCATTTCAACGAACTATTATTTATCAAAGTACTGCGTTCAGTACACGTAGGATCAATATGCATAGTAATTGTTGTAATACAAGCACAAAGACTCAATAAACTGGAAACTGATAAAGTCTTACTTTTCTCCTGTGCTTGCTGTTTTATATACTGTTTGATAAGAAGGTGTTCTTACGGTACAGAACTAAGAAAAAAGAAACAAACATCATGACTGATAAATAAATCCATACAACCAGAAAATTTGAGCATGTCTCTATCGTTGATTTTATAATTTGATTCTTACATTTTCTATAACTTTCCTTTTATTCATATGACAATTCAGTTTCAGAATTTCTATCTAAATTCACATTCACACTCTGATCATCATGAGATTCAGTTTGTAACAACGAACTACTCGTTAATGAATGAGAGGTATCGTCTCGAATTTGATGAGCTCTTTCGGTTCCAAAAACAAAATTTCGCAAAAAGTCTCTCCATCACCGCCAAAAACCTCACAATTCTAGAAACATCCGAGCGGATTCGTCTCACAATCACCTACCTCGATTCCAGCACTGATTCCAGGTCAAACTCGATGAGCTCTATCAGTTGCAATCATAAAAATTTTCACCCACACCCTCACCCTCAAAAACTCTATTTTTACAGTGCATTTTGTCTTCGTCTACCCTATGCCGTACAATGATAAGTTAATGCAAACATAAAATCAAGCAATTTTACTACATATGACATTGTTCAATGAAAATATAGAGGTTACTTCATATCATATTCTATATTGATAAGATGACCGCACATAGCGAGAGGAAGAATAACTAATTGAATAAAAAAACTCGATATTTGGATATACGTGATATAAGTTAATGTAAAAGTAAAGAATGCATAGATATGACAAGAAGTAGTTAAAAATAATTTGAAATGTTAACTTTTGATGATTCGAGATGATATGTTACGATTTCTGAACGATTGAGTTGTACAAGCTGAGGGAGAGCCTTGTGGGAATCAATGCCATGTTCTTTCATACTATCTAGAAATATAAAATTAATTATTTCGATTAAAATATTCAACCATAATCCTCGCCTTCTGATTGAAGAGAAAACTCAGTAATCTGCATATATATATAGCTCTCGCGATATTTAACGTTTATTTTTACTTACTTGTAGCATTGAGTGGTCCAATAGCAACTAACGGATGATAGAGTGTCGATTGTGAAAGTATCGGTACATCGTTCGAGTTTGTCATTTCCATAGTAGTAAAATTTGATAATGTAAATTGACAAATAACTACACCTGCATCAAATGTAGCTTTTTCTGCTGTAAACACTCCACCTTGCGCTATTCCAGCCGGAACAGGATGAAGATGCATGCCAGGATTCATATATCTATTCACATCAATAGTACCATTAGCGAGTCGTCTACAAACAAACACATGAGCTGGGGCCTGACAAGAAAAAAAAACAGATTCATTCAAAATTAATGTAGCCGCGGTAACGAACCATGGATTGATTACGATTAAGACCAATAGCGGCCCATTGAGCTGGCTGCATTTTATAGATAGCCATATGAATTCTTGTGATATTACCAACTTCAAATGTCCATGTTACATTGACACCAACATGGCCAGTAGGTGAATTAAGTTTAGTTTTGGTGTTTCGAAGGACAGAAGAAGATCCTCTATCACAGAGACTGATCTCTGTTTGGACCAGTACTAGCAGACACAAAATTGTTTTAATATATATCATCTAGAATAAATACGTCAACGTCTTTCGATTACATTGCATTTAAAGAATGACGAACACATTTTTCTAAAGTCATCTATAGAGAAAGATTGTCTATTTTGCATGTAAGAACAGAACAGAATGTAGTATACTCAAAGGACAGTAGAATTCTTTCTGTGTTTGAATATGAAAAAAACTGGCGAAGATGAAAATATGGTTTACTTTGAATATCGTGCTCTCTTTCAAACAGGTAGATATAGTTAGTAAAAGAGAAAAGAATTTTAAAAGCATGGAGTCACCCGTAGAGGTATTGAGGTGAGCTACTTTTTCGCAGTACTCGTATTCAAGAATAAAATACTTTAGTAATTAAAATGAAGTGCATCGTATGAATAAAAAGTTTACAGAACTCATTCATAAGGTACCTTTTACTTCGACACCATGCGTACAAAATTTGATCCGTGTGATTATATAGAATGTTTGCTTGAGGATGGTACACCTTCCTTTCAACTTCTGATTTATGTCCACTTATCAAATAAGCCTTTTTAAATTTAAGTGGTGGAACATTTCTCGTATCCTTGGTGTACACGATTTTTGCGATCTATTTGATTTTGAAGTGATTTATCTGGTTTAAACCTGATTTACAAGTGATTTAAATCAGCTTTTCGTCCCTTGGTATCCCCTATTTTTCGACAGTTTCTAGAACTCCAAAACGGCAAATCCCATCGAGCTGAAAATTGTATCACAGATACCTTTTGATATTCCTCAGAGCTAGTTTAAGGATTTAAAATATTTCCATTGCTTTTTATTTGGTACTAAAAATACCAATTGGTTCTCTGGAAACCTACTGAGATCTACCTTCCAAAATATAGGAAAACCATCAAAACTACCTCTGGAGGATATCCCCAAGTATCTATGGTAAAAATTTCAGCTCGGTCCGACAAGGTTAAAGGGTGGTTTACCCTGCCCCAATCTTAGGATTCCGCTGAAAAACTGATTTTTAGAAAAATACAAAATAAGTGTTCGTAGTACACTTTTTAACACTCATAACATAAAATGACACTTTTCTGAGGAATTCGTAGGTAATTTATGGCGGCGAATACAGCCATCATAATCTCAAGCTTCCAATGTACTGTCTCTCGTCCTCTGCCTCCCACATGCCTTCCATATTTCTTCTCTCTCCCATCTATCGCAACCGTCAGAAAGTTTGTATTCATATGCTCAGAAGCAGCACACCTTAGTTGGTGAGGGCGAAGATACCTAGAATTGCTTTTGAGTCGTTTTTCTGTATAAGCCTTCTGATGAATAATTTGCATAGTACGTGCCTGTACACTAACTGCATCTAGTGCGTAGCTGCAAGTTAGGGCTTTTGTGTAACGAATCCTCATCATCTAGTATCGTAATTGGCATTTGTGTTTTAGTGTAAAGCACAAGAAAAAAAATGTCACCAAAGGAAAATACCAACGAAGAAGATGAAGATGCATCAGTCACTTTATTACAAATACAACAACAAAGGTATGACATTAATAAATTGATACTGAACCGTACGATCTAGTCTGCAATTCCCGAACCATATTTATACGCATTAATTCGTGTAGACTTTTCCTCAAGTTTAATCCGTTCAAAACGAAGAATAGGATCGCGTGATTGACCTTGTTTTATTCGTTCATAATCAATTGTTTTGAGCATTTTAAATACTGTCTAATAAGAAGAAGAAAAAGAAGCACATATCATGACTGATAAATATATTGATATAACTAGAAAAGTAAAACATATGTTAATATCTATCGTTGACTTTATAACTTTTCTTTTATTCAGATACAAATTCACACTCTCATCCTCTATATATGAATGATAGATTAGAAATGATCATCTATGAAATGTCATACTCGACGCCAATCGACTCCAACCGTCAGAAAATGTGTCCTGGATGCGTCGTTGTGTATCATAAAGCAGTTGTTTCGCAAATTCTTTGTCGTTATCGCGAATTTGTTGTAATCGATTGTAATAATTCGCTTGCTCTTGTTTTGCTTGTTGATCAACTAATTCAGCATCGGATTTCGTCCACCCAGTCGATGAGTCACGCCAATTAAGATCGCCATCATTGCTCTTTTCAGCCAAAGCTATCGTTCGTCGAGCTAACGCTCGTCGATTATTATTATATAACAGAGGATTTTGTATATATTTCATCTGATGCTCTATATGCTTCTTTCCAAAACATTTGTCACAAAGATCATAAGTTACTGGACATTCTTCACATTGGCGCCGGTTTCCGTTGAAATGTCGTGCAGAGCAGCTATCACATTTGACATCTAAGTGAAAATAGCCGTATGCTTCTCTTGCCCAATGATCGAGAGGCTTTTGTGAAAATACATGTGCGGAAGGATGATGTGTAGCCATCAATGGCTTACATTCAGCACAGACACCGAAACCTTGTGGACATTGTTCACATTGAAAACTTGGTTCCTTATTCATAGAGACTATACGCTGACAATGAGAGCAATTACTGAGGAAGTTGTAAAGGAAATCGTCACTGCTGAATATTGATGCCGGTTTTGAAGATGTCTGAAACAAAAAAAAAACAGATGTAAATGTTTCTTTTTCAATACGTCCTACTTTAGTTAGAGTTTTCTGTACTTCGTCAAACGTCGGCGGCGGTGGTATACTGCTAGTAGCACTAGGAGTAGCCATTGATTGCGTTTGTGACGAATTGATTTTATGGAGCGTATGAAAATGAATACATGCTCGATTGTGTTCTTTTTTCTCACACGATTCACAAACAAAATGATTAACACATTGATGACATTTGTAAACAGTAAACGTTGGCAGAATCGGCATACCACACGAAGTACATATTGTATCCATTTTTACTTTTTAGCAAAAAATCTTTTTTTTAGAGATAAATGATTTCAATTTTTGATCTATCTCTTATATCGTTATTGGACAGGTAAAAAAAAAGCAAATTTTCTATGTGCACTGAGCTAAGACATGACTATCGTGCGTGTTTACTTCGTTTTTTTTCTCGTTAATTGATGTTAAGTCATGCACACATGTTATTTTCTACCATCACATTATAGATAATGAATAAAACGAATTAGTTTTGTGTATTGCGGTAAATGAATAGGGAATCATTCGAGAAAGGTGTTTTTTACGAAAGATACTGATACTCTCATTCTCAATTTTAATCGTGTTTCAAGAATATAATTAAATACATACATATCAATGGGAACAGGCGAGTGTTACCTATAGGTTATTAAATATTCAGCATATGATTGTGCATCGTGATAAGCCACGAAAATGTTGCTTCCATTTGTGGTGGAATCATAACCATCTGGACATACTTTCATCGACGAATTATCCAAAGTAGACTAGTTACCGATCAGCACTTTAGCGCAAAATATACACCGACGCCATACGCGATCGCTAAATACAAATAACAATACAAAAAAAGCTTCTTTTGTCAACTTTTACTTACCGTTGATGCCGACGAAATTTCGGTTAAACCCTTGATTTATAATCATATTGGCGGAGCTCTTCGGGCATCCGTAATATAATGTTTTCGTTGTATCTTTATTCAAGCGCCTTCGAAAATCTTCATCATGAGCTCTGTATTGTTTATACCATCGTTCGTTTTGGATGCGAACCAAACGTTGCCTTAAATTGATCAACTATTGCTTGGTATTCAGAAAGAAGTGGTTGAAACAATCAAACGAATTTGATTTGAATTAGTTGATCGTTCCCAATTCGAAGGTAATCCACTGCTGTTTACGAAAATTGGTCCTTAAAGAGAGAAATGAAGATTTTTTTGAAAATGTACTTATCATTTCATTCTCGATAGTTTGCAATTCTATAGCTGTATGCTTTCTCATTTATAAGACCATGTCTGTTCACGTAAGTAGTTGTTTGCCCATTTGAAATAGTTTGGATAACGGTAAAGTTCATCGCATTACTGGCAGGTAGTGCACGTTCAATTCTGTACCCAATGGCGTTTGGCACAATAGTCCATGTGAGAAGAATCGTTCGGCTTTCGTCGCTGGTTGTTGCTATGAAATTTGAGGGTTCCGTCAATTGAGATGTTGCTATGAGACAACAGAAGAAAATGCACTTGCCAACTGATCACCCATTGATGAGACCAGCCTGGTCCACATATGTAGTCGTTTGATCATCGGAAATAGTTTTGATAGTGGTGAAATCCATTATATGATGGATAGATAATGTTCGTTGAGTTGTGTAACCGGCTACATTTGCCACCTGTCTCCGCGAGAGAGCAACTGCGTTACTTTCCAAACATGCAGCTGCTTTGAAATTTGTAAGTGATGGCATTTGGGATGTTGCTGTGACAACAGACGAGAACGTGCTTCTTGGTCGTGAATCCATGGCCGCAATTCAATATCCATAAGTTTTTCGATTTATGAGATCGGCTTTATCAGAGTAAGTAGCTTCTTGGCCACTTCGAACTGATGTGATCACAATGGAGTCGTCACAGCCGCCATCAACAATTAAAAATCGCTCGATTTGATGACTCAGTCAACGTTACTTCGTTTAACAATGCACTGCTCTCATTTGTTTGCTTATAATCGAGTTTATAATGGGTGTAAAATATAGATGAAAAACAGGAAACTTGGATTTTCGAATTGCCAACGTGTGTCTCAATCAATGATCGGTCATACCTGCGACGGACGTAGAGATATAACCCAGTGAAGTACGATGACACAAACACAAAGCTATGATTTCGATTAAGCGCCGGATCGAAACGTCCCGCATTAGTTGAATTTACAAAGCGCACTGATAAAAATAGTGTACAAATATGATCTACATACTGCTCGAAAGAAATCAAAGAAAAAGTAACAACGTTCTTTCCTTTACTGGTATTATCAGCATCTACCGAAAGAAAAACAAACAATGACGTAGGAATGATTTATTGTAGCCTGCTTATCTGATGACCAGCGTCTTATTTTCATCAAAGATGAGTATTCTATACATTGTGTAATCGAGTAATTACGAAATATAAGAACCGAATTTTTCTTTTAGATTACGATGTTGTTGCCATAATACATCTAATTACTTTTTTTCAAATAAAACAGCAAAAAAAATTTCTGTCTCTCATGAGTCACAACTATCCGCGTGTATTTTTTCCAGAACAGATATTTCATCAATTTCATCGATCATATGTTTTAATAAATCTAAATCACCTTGATCCAATAATTCGCATGTTTTAACATTGATTTTGCCAATACATGTGTAATTATCTTTTTTCAAAACATGCGTTGAAGCTGCTGATAAACTTATTCCATACGAACGTTTGAAATGACATCGAGATTGAATATGTTGCATAACTAACGGACGAAACCATGAATATAAACCTTGATTATGAAATTCAACTAACACACCGCCAGTCGATAAGTATAAAATTTGATTTCTATTCTTCCGTCAATGCTCAAGTTTGGTTGTGTCTGTTATTGTCTCTTCTAAATACTTGTCATAAATGCTATGCGCCCCATCGAGTAATTTGATAATTGTCTTCAATACTTTGTTTTCTATAGGTGGCATTGGTCCATTGATATCAAAATGATCTCTTCGTAGATTGACAGCAACTACTTTGTTCATATATTTGTACTTTGGATCGTCAGGTGATAACTGTCTTTGATTTTCATCAGTTGGTTCATAACGAATGTAATATAGGAGTGGCGTCTCAGTATCAATTGATTTGTAAACGAATTTTTTCATGAGCGGGTGAAATTCTGCCGTATCGAAACCTAGTGCTTTATAAAGAGGAATACGTGAAAAACTAACGCAAATAATCCAAGCAATTTCACTGATGAACTCATTATTTGCTGTTGTTTCACTAGAATCGTGTTTATAGTAATACAAAGCATAATCAGCATGACGATCAATCAATTCGTGAAGATTGGTATTCTTACTATCGGATATTGGCTTTGATTCCATCTCTATCTCAAAGTATTTTTCTTGACTAAACTGACACTCCTTTATCTTTGTATCGCATGATTGACTTTTATAATCAATAGCCAATCCGTAAAATATCGAATAAATAAAATAAAATATTGTATAGATGGCGCATGTTTATCCATGCTCTCCAGATTACAAAATTTATTTTTCTTGATTCAAATATTGATGAGTCATATTTAGATCGAAACTGATAGAGGTTGACGAGATTCAATGTTAACTGTGTATTTGATGATTAGAATCTAAAATACAAAGAAAGAAGATCGATAAATGAAAAGAAGAATTGAGAATTACTTTATTGTCTTGTAGTTCCTTGGAAGCACTTCGAATTTCAGAAGAAAATTTCTTTAATTCAACATAGATTATCGGTGGAGACTAAAGTAAAAACCAACAAATCAAAGAAAAGAAAACTCAACAAGTAATTTGTACCTGTCTCGCATTCAAAACATCGATTAAACAGATCATTCCATCGTTTCCTATATCATTCGAACAAAGGTCAACCATTTTCAAGACCTAATCACGAAAAGATACAAAAAGGAAAACAAACGAATAAAACTACTTGATTCGTCGATAAAACCTCAGCTAAATATTTGATTCCTTGGTCTGTTATTTGATTATCTCGAAGATTAACATGTATGAGTGTCTAATTGAACAACATATTGTGCGAAATTTTCAAATAAAAACAGAACAAACTGTGTGTTTATATAAAACTTTTGATAAATATCTCATTCCTTCATCTCCAAAATAATTTCCAACAAGTTCTAAACTTGTCAATCGTTGATATTGAATCATATCTGTTAAATATCGGATTCCTTGAACACCAATTTCATTGTTGTTCAAAGATAAATGGTTTAATTTCTGAAATGGTAATTAAAAACAAAAATGAACGAGAAATCAATGAAAATAAACCTGATGATTTTGCAGAGCATTCGTCAAATATTGAATTCCTCGGTCGCCGAGATAATTTCCATTGAAATCAATTCGAACGAGTGTCTATTCAGGAAAAACTCATCTCCATATGAATGAAAACGACAAGAATGATTTACCAGTTTGTTTTGTATCTCCTTGAAAATCATTTCGGATCTTTTGCTGATGGATAAATTGATGTTCGATATTAACAGAGCGTTTTGCACCTAAATACCAACTGTCAATTAGACGGAAACTTAATCTTCTAAACAAACTCGATCATTTCGTAATGAAATGGCAATTCTAACCAACGTAACAAAATCATTTTGATTTCCATCGAGTTGCAATTTGTTCAACGGATGTTCTCGAAATACTCCGTACAAATATTCTGCTCCTTGTTCTCCGATCTGATTGTATCGTAAATCCAACGTGATTAATTTCTATGGAAAAAGCAATACAACACTTTTTAAAGAAGAACGGCCCGGTCGGAATTACTCGGTTATTCCGTAAAATATCGACAAGATATTTCACACTTTGATCAGTAATTTCATTAAAACTCAAATCCAGTATTTTGACATTTGTACTTTGTAACAATATAGAAAGATGGTAAATATCATTATCGTTGAGATGACTATGATCGAATTTGATAATTTCATTAGTCTGAATAGGAAATCAATTTCGTTGATGAGATTGACAGAAGAGAATGTTTACTGAATTGTTTTGAAATGCGCGACGGAAGTATTCTTCACCGACCGTTCCGGTACGATTCCAACCGTATTCCGGTGCGGTGAGAAGTGCGAATCGATAAGACATATTTTCAATTGGATTTCCACCGATATTTAATATCAAGAGTGTCTTTTTCAGACAGAGAATTGATTATCAAAAGAATGGAAAATACTTACAGTATTAAATTGCAAATTTTCAATTAAATATTCAATGCCTTTATCTCCAATGCAATTTCCAAATAGATTCAATTTCATCAATGTCTAAAATACTTCAAAAAGTGATCAATAAATTGCTTTGGAAATGCAATACTCGATTGTTTCTCAGAACCAAAGCTAAATATAGAATTCCTCGATCACCAATTTCATTGTAACTTAAATCCAAATGTTTCAGTGTCTAATCCAAATATGAAAACATGAATCTTATTCAATTAAAGACTAATTACTTGATTATTAAAAAATTCGTTGGCGATATACTTCATTCCACTATTTGTAATTTCTTCACCGCTAAGGTTTAGATTAGATTCCTGACTATTTCTGATACTAATTGCAACTGCAACAGCAACACAATCTCGCCCGATATTTCGCTTCAGATTGAGTTTAACCAAAGTTTTATTATTGCTCAAGGCTTCACCTAATCGATGTGCGCCGAAGTTTGTTATTAAATTGTGGCTCAGATCGAGACATTTTAATGTCTAGGAACGAAATTTTGTTTGATAAACAGCAAAACATTCTAACATACGAGATTAGTCCGCAAGAAAAGAGCGACTTGTTGAATTTTATCATCATCGATTTCACATCTGCTGAGATCTAATGTAGCGAGTAGCTAAAATGGAAAAAAAAGAAAAATGAAACTATTGCGGAAAAATATAGTTACCGGATCGTATTTTATACTAATGAGATGTCCGATATGGAGTCTTTTTCGATTCAAATTTCCATCAAGTTCCAATCGTCGTAATTTCTGTTGAAATATTCATCGAAATCAACGGCAAGTCACTAGTCAAACTTACAGTACTGTCGGCTAAAGTATATGAAAGATAATCAATTGCTGAATCTTCTATTAAGTTGTATCTGAGGTCTAATACAACAAGTGTCTAGTCAAATAGAGCAGAGGTGACATTCAGAAAGTTGAAAAAACGGAAAACCTGATTGTTTTGTAAGGCATCAGCTAAATAAAATACTCCTTCGTTTTCTATCCCATTCTTTTGCAGATTTAGTACTCGGATTGTCTATAATTATTGCTTCGAAACAACATTTATGTACGAAATCAAATCGATTTACTTTGTTGATTTTTAGTGCGTCTGATAAATATTTCGTTCCGGTATTTCTGATCGAATTCATTTGTAGATTTAGTGTTGTGAGTGTTACTTGTTTGTCTTGTAAAGCGTTTGACAGGAAGATTGATCCAATATCTTCAATCGGTTCGGGAACAAAACTAAGTGATTTTAATACCTAAACTAACAGATAGGATATGTGGAGTGGGGACAATTTCAGCCTTACCTGACCGACTCCGAAAAGATTCTTTAGATGTTTTCGTTCACCGTTCGATAATTTCACTTGACGAAGAATAAGTGATTTGATCGACTAGAAGACTTTAGAAATCGAAAATAGAAACGAATATATTGAAAAGATACTTGATTTGTGTTAAATAAGTTCTTCAAACGAAATATTGTATGATCTGTTACAATAAATCCTTCGATAGTTAATCTGACTATATGCTACGAGAAAATTACATGAAATATATTTCACGTTACAACATACTCTTACTTGACAAAGAGAAATATGTTCGAAAAATTTCTGTGTATCGTTTTCATTGACATTGATAAGAGTTAATGATTGCAGATTGATAAATTTAGACATATCATAGATCGATCCACGAGTACCTGATATTGATCGAGGTAAATCGATTTGATTTAAATCGTAATATTTATTTACAATCAACGAAATGATTTGTTCCGGACAGATTCGATGAGAAAGAAGTTTGATAGTCGATGCTTTCAGTGAACACATGTTTAATTGATAACGATTATATGAATTTGTAATATGATAGAAATGCTTGGAAACACGACGTATTGAATAAATAATATCTTGTACATCGAGATTATCAAAGATTAAATGAACAATTTCCACAGGTAGTAAAAGAAGATTTTGTGTTGACATGTTTTCGTCGTATGTTTGAAAGAACATATGTGAGTTGATTCTTTTGAGAATATATTCATTTTTTTACTTGTTGGTTTTTTCCAACAAAACGATTCATTTATTTGTAGAAAGAGAAATATTCAAATCTGTGTAGTTTATAGGACGTCATATGGCGAAACACATTTTCGAGTAATTTATTGACAAAGAAAGAACACCATGAGTTATTTTCTCAGTACTTTATTAATCATTCTTGATCAGGTAAACATGAACCAGATATGCCTTAAATTTCAGTTTCTCGCGTGTGTAAAAGAATCGATCGATATATAGCCATATGAGAATCCGTGAAATTGACTATGTGTATGCAAAAGTGATGTCAATGGCATTTTGGAAGTCCGTATATATCATCGGTCTCTAATGACAGTATTACAGTAATCCGATAAGTTCTACTTTATAAAGTTTAACTACAATATTCATTTATTGGTGATCCAATCGAAGCATACTTTTGCCAATGTACGATAGATGTATGGGATTTAGGATGTTGTAGACATGCAGCTAGTGTCGTTTAGTGTCTTGCATTCGGTCGGTATAACAAGTTCAAATCGTTTGTAGGTTGTCAAAGACTGTTTCAAGCATTAACAAAAATGGGAGAAGTCAATGGTAAAGATTCTGATAATGTGTCAAACTCCGATGACGATTGATTACTATGTCATATTAGATTAACTTTTATATTTATTCTTTCCAAAAGTCGTAGGTGTAAAACTCTTTCTTTTGCTCCATGTGACAAAAATAAAATAATGTTTCCTTTGTAATACTTATAGTATCATGTATATTTGAGTAAGAATCTATATTAGTATTCGAGAAGATCAGAAAATATTATCATAAACATTATCATATTAAGACTTCTATATTTTGTAATTTGATATTTATATGTCATTAGTTATACAATTTCGATAATTCGGATCAGATCACATACGTGTACTAAAATATTCCACAGAGTACAAATTAGCGTTATTTTTTTTTGTTAGATCGAAGTTTCATGATAATCATGAGACATAGAATAGAAAAATACGTATTGGTTTGAAACAAATATTTTTATTTACATGGATTTTCTTCATACTTATGTCACTTTGTCGAGTTGTTTTTCTAGAATAGTTGCTATTCTTCTGTTTAAATGTATAAAAACAGAATAATTAATAAATAATACGCCGAAAACATGCCTAAACTCATATTTTTCCAAAAAAATTATTATTTGTCAGTCTTATAGTTTATAATATAGTTGATAGAGTACTTTCTGAAAGTTTATATACTCTCTTCTCTATTTTTTTCTCTCACAACCCTTGTTTATCTTTTAAACGATATATATATATATATGCATTGTATAACGATTTGTGCTTGGTTTTCTGGATCGAAATAACCGAAAACTCGATAAGGAGTAAATGATAAATGATTTCATCATTACTCAACATAATGGTGAAGTAAATTTTGCTCCAAAATGTTCTTCAAATGATTTTATGACTTTAATTTTTATCCGAATGATTATCAAAAATGAAATGTATTACTCATGAGATACAACTATATCGATCACTATACCAACAAATATTCATTAAGAGAAAAAGAAAATGTAAATTTTCTGCTTTCTTTCATCTGTATGTTGGAAAAAAACACACGAATATATATATTTTGAGTTATTAGTAAAAAACTGATTTGATAAAGACGGAAATGCAAAAGCTGCATAATAATAAAAGACAAAAAATCTCTGGTATGACATTTGTTTTCACACTTGACATATTTTTCAATTAAATTTAGGAAGAGCGACGATATTCGAAGATTTATTCAACGAAATTTTTTATGAAATTTTCGATTATTTACATTTTCATGAATCATTTTCTTCATTCCAATTCTCCGATTCATATCAACATCTCATCAATATCAAAATCTAAACTCGAATATGTTGTGTCCAATGTCATTTCCTTACAATACAATCGAATCAAATCAGTGTATTTATCGAATCCATTTTCATTCGAAATGCTTTTATTAATCAATTCTCAATTGACAGTCTTTCCTTGTCTTCAATCATTATATCTTCATCAAATTCCATGTCATTCGATCGAATCCATATTAAATTTCTCACCAAATCTCATATCTTTAACGATCGAATCTGGTGATAATACAAAAAACCTTGATCAGATTTATAAAACAATCTTGTCGAACATCGATCAAAACTTTGCGAATTTTATGTTCAATTCCATTTGCTGCAAATGTATTCAGTTCGATTGAATATTTAGCTATCAAACATACGATTTTCTTACCTCAACTTGATCGTTTATTATCGTACATTCCACAAATACGTCATCTATCGTTTGAATGTACTAAGAGACATCGAAGGAATCGAATATCGAACGAATCAAAGCATTTAAATGATTTAACGCGTTTATGTCTTGGTTGGGAAAGTATATGGATTTCACTGAATTTCAATTATTAGTCAAAGACTTTTTTCAAAATATTCAAATTTTAAGTCTTTCAGTATGTTCTATCAATTCTGCAATTGATGAATATTTGGACGTATCTTTGATTATCGATGTCGGTTTTACCGAAACGATTTCAACATGGATTCTCAGAGATTTGCGCACTTATCGAATCAATTCAATTCTTCATTTTGGACAAAACGACAGTGGTATTTTCAATATAAATATGATAAACATTGTTCTGGTTTCGGTGATTTTTTTTCCATCAATCCATATAATTTTAAACAAAAGTTTTATACTTTACTTGATCAAATCGATGCAACAAATGTGAAATTAATTGATCATTTGACAATTCGAGAAATCAATTCAATAAAAAATTGTGCACATTATTTTCCTCATGTTAATCAACTAACTCTTCCCTACACTTTGCGTATATCTGCTGATTTTCTTTCCGATAGTTTCAATCGGATTATTTCGTTGAAATAGCTAACAAAATTATATCTTCGCTGTCGTCGTTTATCATTTGAACAAATTCTTCATTTACTTTCATTCACACCAAATGTTCAAACATCCGAATTCGATTTATTATCATTGAAAAACAAAGATTCACTTGCAATTGAACAAAGCAAAACATTTCAATCAGTTTCGAAAACAAATCGAATTCAAAATATAACTATTTATGATGAAATGACATTAGATGGAATTAAATTATGTATTCATCTATTCTCTCGAATGGAATCTTTGGAATTTAGTTTATACTGGAATAACTTTAAAACATTACTAAGAATTATTTTATTAGAATCAAATGAACATATTCGCTATTTATCATCGTTATGTATTTTGAAAGAAGGCAAAGATTTGGTCGAGTCAGTGAAATATTTAATTGATTCAGAAAAACTTCTTCGTGACTATCAAATCAAACGTGTAAAGTCAAGAGTTTATCGATGGTGGTAAGATCATCTCGAGAGATCAACGGTGGTTTTCAACAGAAATCTTCAAATTTCTTTTATATTTATCGAATCCGTGTGTGACATTTAATCTCGAATTTGACGATAAAATGAAAAAGATCAGAAAAAGCTGAACTGCTTTTTTTTTTAAAATATAAATGAATGATGATATACCAAAAGTCGAAATATATTGAAGTATCACACTATGAACGAATATTTATTCTTCAAATGCTTATCGAAATCTGAAGTTTTCTCCTAAGATCACTATTCTGATCGGATATTATGAGCATGATGAAATTTTGTGTAGTTAGAATTCGTCAAATATGTGATGAGATAAGTTTTGTTACTGAGAGAAAAGTAACATAAACCACATGAAAGGTGTTTTTCTCTTCTACTAAATATTTTTGCTGAAATTCGGAAATATGAATAGCACAACTTCTATTTTCTATTATTATTATTTATTCATACACACTAAAAGCATTTCAAAGACTAGAGAAAATCTCTATTCTCTCTTCAGAAGTTTCACACCTGCAGAATATCATCAATACCTTTTCCATTTCAAATGAATGATCCTTTTCATGTAATAATGGTTTTCCCGTATTATTTTCTGATTCTTATAATAAATAGATCACATTCTCAATATATATACCAATCCTCATCGTTCACATCAAGTTCAGGCACTAGTTTTTATCCAGCTAACAAACAAGCACAATTGATTACTTCAATATCTGTTAATTCATGGAAATTATGTGCTATTCAATGTAATCAAAATACGCTTTGTCGAATTTTTGATTATGGTTCTATACAAACAAATGAATGTTTATTATTCGAAGGTGACACAGATGTTTTAGGTACAATTGTGACATCATCAATGCCTAGTTCACGAGTGGGAATTATTCGAATAAAATCATCTCTGTTTATTGATTACGGTCGACCATGTTCAACTGTTTGTGCACAAAGTCGATACTTACGTTGTAATGAAAATTTCACCTGTGATTGTATGCCACATACATATTGGAATGCATCGAGTGAACTATGCCTTGGTCAAATGACAATGTTAGGGGCACTTTGTTATCCGAGTATGAATATGTGTCGAAATGATCTGAATTTAATTTGTTCATCTAATAATCAATGTATTGGTAAGTGTAGAGAACTCCTATGAAATAATACATTGCTTATCGTCGATGTCTTTCAGATATTTCTACATTAACTTGGCCCAATGGTACAATTATTGCTGATACTTCCACCATATTTCAAGGAAGTTCATCTGTTGGTCTTGATTATCCTATGGGAATCAGCATTTATGAAATGAACAATAAGGAGTTTCTAGTTGCTGTTGATTCAACAAGAAGTCAAATTATTCAGATCGGAGATGTGCTTTCAAACAGTCAAACAGCATCCGTTATCGCTCATAATTGGACAGATGATTGGTTACAAAATCCAAGTGGCTTATTTCTTGACATAACGCGTCAAAATAATCTGTATGTCATCGATTGTAATCAGTTTCGAATTGTTTTATTTGCTACAATGCAAACCACTTCTCCAGTACCACAAAACATAGCCGGCATCAAAGGAAGCAGTGGTTCTACACTAGATAGATTTTCTTATCCTTACGGAATGATTGTTGACAGTAAACAAAATCTTTACATTGCAGATACTCTTAACCATCGAATAATGTTTTGGGCAGCAAATACTACTTCTGGAACAATGATTGTAGGAACAGGCACAGCGGGTTCAAGTCCTACGGAACTTAATTATCCTTATAGCGTATATCTTGATGAAGATACGGCTACTCTATACGTGGCAGATAAAGATAATCATCGGATTCAAGCATTCAATATTAATGGGAATTCTCCTTTGAGTGGAGTAACTATAGTCGGTGGCTATGGAAGTGGATCAAGTAGTCAACAACTTAATCAGCCGACATATGTGTGGATATCGAAAAAGACTAGAGCAATGTTTATTGTAGATTCAATGAATCATCGTGTTCAACGTTGGAATTCTGGCGCATTGTCAGGAGTCACTGTTGCTGGTGATCCTGTTGGTAGTTCAGGTTCGGATCTTAAGCGATTGAATTTACCGTTTGCATTAGCTATCGATAAAAATGAAACTAGAATATATATAACTGACATTGGTAATAAGAGGATCATTACTTTTTCTCTCTTATGATATATAATAAAGAAGATATTCATTTAGCTTTGTCTTTTTTTTACTGTCTATCATCTAATTGTACAAATGTTGTTTGTGTGGTAACGATTGCAATAGAGGACAAACCTTTGTGTATTGAATGTATGATAAGATTTTAAATAGCTAATGGAATCAGATAATTATTCATTTTCAGGATGTGAAACTTAATAATTTTCTACAGAATAAAACTTTGAATAACGAACACATTATTAGTTTGACATTTTAGATTTTTATTCGTTTTCCGCTACCCTTTTTTCAAAAATTATTCGACAACGATCGTTCTTTTCACCATCTGATGACGTACTTCTAAGCCAAGTATACCAAAATTAGAAATGTGATTTTTGATGTGTGATCAATACTTCACTCTATACTTCAAATACTATCTCAAGTAGTTAAAGTCTCGCATTTCCTCCCTTGTAATGACCAGATTACGGTACTATAATCCTTTCTTTGATAAAAGACAATATCTATTTACGTATGAGGCGGGACGAAGAAAAAAAATGCTCACACTTCGATTATCAAAGTCATTTATCGATGAAAATATTCATTATTGATGTATTTGTTGTTCTTCCCATGCTAATCTTTCTTGACATAATTGAATAAAACCTTCTAATTGTAAAATATCTGAATGATTTAATGGACGTGATTTTACTAAAATATTTCTCGCTTTTTCATAATAAAAAATTGCTTGTCGAGAATCAAACAGATTCATATACATAATACCAATATTTGCATATGTTGATCCAATATGTGGATGATCTTTAGGTAAAAGAATTTCTTGTTTCGATATACATTTTTGAAAATATTCGAGTGCAAGATCAGTTTTATCTTGATCTTGATAAATTTGCGCTATATTTGAATAAATATCCGGATAAGATGGATGATCTTCCGGTAATAATTCTAATGCTTTTTCTTGATAAGAAAGTGCCTGATCAAGATCATTCAGATTTCGATAGATATTTCCAATACAACGATAACAATCACCAATGTAAAACAAAGGAACTGGTGGAATTATTTTTTGATAAATGTCCAATTCTTTCAAATGATATTCTAAAGAAATCTTATAATCATTTTCAGCTCTACCAACTCCTGCAAGACCACGATAACAACTTGCAATTTCTTCGAATGTTAATGTTTGAGAATTCAATAATAATTGATTAAAATATTCTTTTGCTTTATTTGTATCACCCATTTGATATAATAAATATCCAAGTGATGTACAATCATTACCAATATTCAGTTTATCTCGTTGTAATATATCTTTCAATTGATAATTATCTTCAGATGATAAAGACATTTGACATATCCAAATGTGTTCATTTTCATCATAGAAGATTTCTTTGATTTCAAATATCGATCCTAATCCAATTAGAATTTCATTTTCTTCACTAAAATAACTAAGATGTTGGATTTTTGCATATGGACGAGTATTTTTTATTTGTTTATTCAATTCAAATTCGAAGAGAATCGCTGTTAAGTCCGATGTAATTGGAATTCGTTTAGCAAAATTCATTGAGATTTGACGATCTTCACTTGCTGATAAAAAACTATTAAAACTAAGAAATTCACCCAGATTTTCACGGATCAACTTCACTTCCTGAACATCAATTGCTTGACCACGATAAACATATTGCAAAGCAACTTCTAAATTGTGATTATATTCATGTAATAATTCCGAATATAAATCTTTAATAAAAAATCTCATCAAAAACAATGTAGAAATATCTTGTAATCGAAGTGCTTTGTTTAATAAACGATAAATACACGATTCTCTCGTATACCACCAAATAGCTTTCTCTTTTATATATGTTTCATTAAATTCATTGAGAATTGCTAATTCTTGTGCATTGTTTTGATAATTTTCTCGACATATTTTAATAAAATCTTGTTTTAATCTGATGTGATCATTTTCAGTATTAGTCATTTCAAATAAAACATCAATAAATAAATGAAAATAAAGAAAGAAAGCATTACGTGATTGAAGAGATGAATTTCGATTATAGATCTGAACTGGTAAGGCAGATTCATCGATTTGTTCACGACATTTTTGGTCATTGGATAGAGTAAGATGAAGATCATCAATGTTATTAAAAACTCCTTTTATCTAAAAGAATAAAAAAAAACTCATCATTTTCGTGGGAAAATATTTTAAAAAATGATGATACTTTAGAGAAATTCTGTGCCCATTGTTGATTTAATTTAACTAAATTTTCTTGGCAAAAAACATAACAACTTGTTATTTGTTGTAAATCATGGAAATGCATTATCAATTGTCGTGTTTTTGCACTTCCAGATATGATCACAACATATTTATTCATTTTCATTGATTCATCTTCAAGATATTTTTGACATTCTGATGGATCTTCAAACGTTTTTATTTGATTGATTATTTGACGAAATTGACTTTCATAGTGAAGATTTTCATCAACCCATAGAAGTATAAACATTTCCAAATTTTTGAACTGAATTTTTATTTCTTGATCATTCATTGTAGTTGCTATTGGAGATAAATTTACATGTGATGTATGGCAACCCATTCAGAGCAACTAGAAAAATACTTCAAGTAAGAAAGGACAAATTTCTAATTAGAAAAAAACCTTTTAGTTCTTCTTTGTTTCTGTTATTGTAAAAAAAAATGAACTCAATACTCTTTGTTTACTTTCGTTCAAACATGACAATACCTTTTTTTCTTTAAAATTATCCAAGACAAAGACTACGAAGTTTCAGTTTATAAATCATATCTCTTTGGATTATGTTTTTACATGTGTATGATGCAATTACTCGTTAAATATAAACAAAGACACGTGTTTGCAAGAAAAAGAACGATTTTGACAATGAATTGCTACAGAAGTTATCAACAAATTTAAAAAATATTCTTCATGAATTATTTTCGTATGTAGCATCAAGATGATAATTGAAAAAGTATTTAACGTGAACACGGATTCGTACACAGGTGTATTTCGATTCTAATTTGATTCATTCCAAGTAGAACTTAATGAGTTGCATCTGTCACAAAAAAAAAATGTTCGACAATATTCATCCATACCGGTTAAAATTCGAAAATAGTGAAGAAAAATGAAAATTAGAGAAAAACACGAACGGATTCGTTTCTTCACTTGCAACACTTGTTTCCAGATGCATCTCGACTGACTCCAATCCTCTCAGCGTTGCACATATTTTATTGATGAGAGTGATTCAATTTGTCAATAGCTACATATACATACGTATCATCGAGTAATCTTCGAAGATAGTTCATATAACTACGCAAGCCATATAGAAAATTATCTTCCCATCCAGTTTGATCAGAATACTGTTCGATATTGAAAACTTTGCATAAATCAACAATCCGAACATCGACTTTTGGTATTGAATAGGAAGCGTAGTCGCTCTCGTAGACAATCAAGAGAGATGATGAAATGAAAACCAGCTCAGATTGTTTTATCATTGCACGCTCTAGAGCAATCAGTCGTTCCAATACTAAACGTACAATTCGACGGTAAGCAGATCTCGGTGCACCATAGAAATGAGCAATGGCATGAAGAACTTCTTCTTTGTTCAATGATCGACCACAAATCTTACTGTGATATTCAAAAGAATTTGTAGTCGAACGGTATATTTGCCAACCAAGTAGTTGAAAACCAATTTCAGCTGCCGGTGGATATCTTCGGTAAGACTTCTCTTTGTCCTCTTTGGTTGCTGCGAAATCGTATGTTATTCGTCCAATTTTAACATCGGCAATACAAGGATATCTGAATGGATAAACAATGTTTTCAAGAATTAAATAGTTGATTCCATTGTATTCGTATATGCCTAAGAGAGTAGCCATGAACGATCGAAGTGCACGTAAGTTCTCCGGTGCCTCATCGGAGAATACATTGGTGTAAAAACGCCATTCGCTTGGTCCTCGTACTTTATCATTCAATGGTTTGAGAACATCATTAGTAGAAATTCGTTGAAGAAGACCGAATTTCGTTTTCGCATTCCCATAGAAATGTCCCGAGACTTGATGTTGAAGAGGTTGTGTATCAGGTGGTAATTCAGGTAAAAAATTCATACTAAAATGAAGAAAAGCAAACATAGAATTAATTTATTTTTAGATATAAAATAAAACATATCAAAACACTAGTCACTTGTACTACGTTCTTAATCCGAAAGAGCTATAGAACAAGTTATATTACTTTTTTTTTTAAAATCATGTATTAACTTTGCTAAATGTTATTATGAGAAATATGAAAAGAAAACAGATGTGGCTTTTTTATATTATGATAGTCAAACGATTTATATATCAATCATTTTTTTGTTTCTACTATCCGGGAGCGTTTTTAGATCACACCAAATAATGTTTTTTTACTGTTCTTCTTGCACTACCTAATCACTCTATAGTATAATATTTTCTTTCTCACATTTATGATCATATATATATATTCACAAATGTCTCTTTCACTTGTTGATGTATAAAATAGTATAGTCAAAGATTGTCAGGAGAGTTGGTGTCCCTGTATGAATTTTGAAAGTCCACAAGAAAACAGAAAATGCACGAAATCAAACTTATCTATTATAGAATCGTCTGAATATACCTTCGTCAATCTCAAAGAACAGGAATCTGTCAGGATGTAAAACGTTTTATGCAGATAGTCGGTAAGTATATTTTCTGAAAAGTCTCTTCTATTGATGGAAAGCAACGCAACCTTGACAAATCACTGATTAGCAGATAATTTGTGTTCCAGTAGAACATTCTCATTAATATCCACTTGCAGAACTATGAATTTTAACATGCCATAATACAAAATAACTCTTTCAATGCTATGTTAGTTCTCGTATATTTTTACTCTTGCCTAAAATCACAAAAAACAAAAACAAAATATGAAACACGCAGTTTTTCAATGAATTACTTGTTGACAGCAGTGTAGATATATTCATTATTGAGTAATTGTCGAAGATGATTTATATAATTACGCAGACCGAAAAGAAAATTTTCATCTGCTTCCAAACTTTCGCTATACTGAAAAGTATGCGCGAAGTCTACCAGTCGTACATCGATTTTTCGTTTCCATTGTTGATCATTCTCTTTGTCTAACTGTTCACCTTCATAAACGATTAAAAGTGAGGATGCAATAAGAACGAGTCCATATTGTTTCGAGATGACTTTTTCAAGATCTATAAGACGATCCAATACAGATTGTACGATTTGACGATGATTAATTTTTGGTGCGCCATAGAAATGAGCAAGTGCATGAGGAATTTCTTCTTTTGTTAATGATCGACCAAAAATTTTATCACGATATTCATAGAAATCTTCTGTTGGATGATAAATTTGCCAACCGAGCAATTGAAAACCAAGATGATTAACATCTGGAAATTTTTTATGACAACTTTCTATTTTTTCGAGAGTTGCTTCATGATCATACGTTATTCGTCCCAGTTTGATATCAGCAACACAAGGATAATGAAAAGTTTGAAGAATATTTTCAAGAATTAGATAGTGCACTTCGTTGTGCTCATAGATACCTAAAAGCGTAGGCACAAATGATTGAAGTGCACGTAAATCTTTGGAAGTTTTATTGAAGAACATGTCCATATAAAATTGTTGTTCACGTTGACCCCGTTTATCATCAATTAATGGTTTGAGAACATCACCAGTGGAAATTCGTTGAAGTAGACCAAGTTTTGTTTTCGATTGTCCATAAAAATGTCCTGCTACTTGATGTCGAAGTGGCATCGTATCAGGCGGTAATTCAGGCAAAGAATCCATCGAAAAAAGAAACTTTTTTTTGTCAAAAACTCAAACTGAAAGCATCGTTGTGATTACAGAACGTTTTATAGTATTTCATGTGAAGAACTGTACATTATGCCACGTTTACTGAAAACTTTACTCAGACAACGTAATTTCAATGATGTGTTTTAATAATCAGTATTTATTTTTGGAAATAGGTTCTCTCCATTTAAAAATTTGTTCATGGGAGAATTCCCGTTTTATGTTGGCATTAAATCTTAACATTATTCTTTCTTCGAAAATGAAAGTATTATGTCGTTCAAGGAAAAAACATTTTTCTCGTTCTGTTAAAATACTTCGCTGGTAGTATTCTGGCTAGACGAAAATCGTTTTTCAAATTTTGATTTAGTAAAAATAAACATCACCGATGATGAAATGAAGCAATATTTCGTATGACGGATACGTTTGTGCGTCATACCTGACGTCAAAGAGAAAAAAAAAACAAATACGTATATTACTTTTATTCGAGAAGATGAATCAATGGATACTATATCATGCATTGCTTTTTCATCTATTTATGCATGAATAATCTATCCCATACGCCCAATTTGCGTAAACAATCAATATATAAATACGACGGAAAAAGTTTGCTATCATTAATACTATTTCTATCTTATTCGACGACTATTAAGCAAATATTCATATACAATGCATCATCATCATCATCCATTTCTTGATGCAGGATTAGGTGCTTTCGCTGGTTATGAGCTCGGCCGTCATACTGGTATTGGCAATCCACTTATCGATGCTGGACTAGGTGCCTTTGCCGGTTATGAGATTGGAAATTACTTTGGTGGTGGATATGGTGCTCCATATGGTGGAGGATTTGGTGGTGGTTTTGGTGGAGGTTTTGGTAATCAGTATGGATATGGTGGATATGGTTATTAGTAGAACGAAATCAATGAAACTATTTTGTAATATAATGTTTTCAATAAATATCATTCGTTTGTCAAGGGTAATTTACAGTACCTAAGACTAAATCTTTTAAAAAAATTCAATGATTCTCTGTTAGTTTCATATTAAGAATGTGTGTATTACACTCATAGCAGCTACATCACACTTCCATAGGTTATGATTAATTCTAAATGGTATTTATTTGATTGCGTTGTCGTCGATAAAATAATAATTGTTGTTTAACCTTGCGACGAAATTGACTTGATGAGATAAAAAATATATAAAAACTTCCCTACGAAAAAAAAAGAAATATAGTAAACTTTTATCTCTAAACGAATAATTATCTACATACAATCGAATAAAAATACGATATAAGTGTAACGATAGTTGTGACAAAATTCTCCGTGATTTGTCTATTAATATCTTTAGTAACACCCGTAGTAATCAAACGATAAACATTGTTAACTCCATATACCATATTACTAATTACAACTACTATTGATTGCATCAAAATCATTTTTGTTAATTGACGATCTGCTTGTCTATTTGCAAGAACTTGTGTTTGACGAATATTTCTGTTAGTTAACCATCCAAATATACTTATAATCAATATTGGGATACAACCATTAACAACAATAAGATATACTGTCGTATAAACAGCATAAATTGCATTTGATGAAGTACATCGTGTTGGTGTTATTTCATAAAATATCGAAGCAATTATTCCGTGAATTATCCAAATGATAAGAAAAACAATGATAATTCGTCGAGCTAATTTCATATTACTATACTGACGAAGACGAAAGTTTTTCGATGTTGATATAAACTGATCGATTATTGATAGACATGCACAAGTTAAAGACATTGGTGGAAGTGAGCCGGTAAATAATGGACGAACTTTACACCAAATTCTTGAAGAACGAGTTAAGTCAATTCCACTCGTTGCTGTTTCAATTCGAGGTATGAGAATGATACAAAGATATAACGTATTAATGATTGATGCAGTTAATAAATAAAATGAACAACAATTTCGACGTTCGACAATTGTACCAGAGAATATGAAAATATTTATTCCATTTCCTATGAAACCTACGACGAAAAATACTGAACCAACTACAGCTGTTAGCTGTTCGCCAATCAATGTTAAAGACATGGTAGATTAGATGTTATTACACGCGGACAAATTTGTTGTCACCGAAAAAGAAAATGAACTTTAGACTATAAGAACAGAATAATTTTTTTTAACTCAAAAGTGAAATTTCACTCTTCAATACTTCGCAATGTTTTTGAACATTTAATCCATAGATGATCTACATTTGAATCGTTTTATTAAAGAAAATATGATAAGTGTACCGAAGTAAAATAATCGAATTAGCGCGTTAACAAGAAACTTTTATCCATTGTCTTCTTACAGATAGAAGAAAAGGTGTTTTTAGTTCAAATCTAAAAATATTGTTCAGTTAAAAATGCAAAACTACGTAGAGATAGAATCGCAATTAGAGGCATACGGAGTACAAGAATATCAGTTCGCTTTCGTGTCTGTGGAGACCTTCTGTTGTAAATTATAAGATAAAATCATTAATAAAAGGCATTCCTGGCGAATAGATCCATTTATTTATCATAAATTGATCACGCACGCTCTAGAAGATCATGCTTGAGAGGTCAAAATGTTTTCATTTACTTCGAAACTAAGCAAACCAATAGAGACATATTCAAATTATGTCCTTGGCAATAGTTGCATCGCTAAGCATTGCTTATCAACAAGTGTTTATTTACATGGGTATTCCTATTTTATCACTAGGTCTGATTGGTGGTTTTTTCAATACACTTGTTTTCTTAAGCCTTCGAACATTTCGAGAGAGTTCCTGTGCATTTTACTTGACAGTTATGTCAATATTAAATATGGGTCAGTTATTAACTGGTTTGTTATCACGTATTTTGATTAGCGGTTTTAATATTGATTTTACGCGCACTTCATTGTTCTATTGTAAATTTCGTGTGTTCTTTTTCCAATTCTCAGTCATCAGTTCACTCGCATGTATCTGTTTGGCAACAATCGATCAGTATATTGCTACATGTACACGTCCTCGTTGGCGACAATGGAGCAATATTCGTTTAGCACGACGTCTACTCATCGGTGTGATCGTGGCAATTATTATTGAACAAATTTCTTTTTTAGTTTTCTATGATCAGAAAATTTCATATCCATCTAATCAAACAGTTTGTATAACTACGAGTACTGGTTTCGATCAATTCACTATCTATACCAATTCTCTTCTACTTGGCAATCTCATCCCTGTTATAATAACTTTCATTTTCGGTAGTCTTGCTTATAGAAATATTCAACAGTTGAGATATCGAACTGTTCAGTTAGTTCGACGAGAACTTGATAAACAACTGAGTATGATGGTTCTTGTTCAAATATTCTATATTAGTTGGACGATTACACCTCAATTAATTCTTTATATTGTGGCAGTGTATGGAAATATTCGTGATTCGACTGTTCGCGCACAGATTAATTTAGCTTATGCAATTAGTCTTTGTTTATACTATTCTTTTTTTGCCGTAAGTAATTACTTTTTTCCTCTGCTAATTACTATTTTTCAATCTTTAGTCTCCATTCTATACTTATATCATCGTTTCCGAACGTTTCCGTCGACAATTTCTTCATGTCATTTTTCGAATACATAACAATCATCAATGGCGACCAAATCGAGTTCATCCGAATATGCCTATTAATGTAGTAGTTTCTTTCTTGTAGAAAATAAAAGTTCAGTCATTTCTTTCAGAGATATTTGTGTAACCACTGAAGTTCTCGTTGAACTTTATTTTGATGCTTCGGATTTTGATTGAATGCGTGACTTTCACGAGGAAAAATGAGAAGTTCTACTGGCACTCCTCGATAGTAAAGTGCGCGTTCAAGAATATGACTTTGACTCGGAGGAACTCGAACATCCATTTCACCCGTGATGTTATGTGTTAGTGTACGAACCTTACCTAACTTATAAATTGGCGATTCTTTCTGATATAAATCAGGTACATTCCATGGAAATCCTCCGAATAAATTTTCAATCAGAACAGGCATATCCAAAATACCCCAAGTCGAACTGTAATCAACTGCACCGGAGCCAGATAAAGCCGCATTGAATCAATCTGTTTGTGTAATTAACCAATTCGTTAGAAATCCTCCATAACTATAACCTGCAATGGCAAGTCTTTGAAAATCGACAATTCCATCTTGAATTAAACTATCAATACCAAAGAGAATATCTTTTCCAGGTGGAGATAAAGGTTGATGACGGATTTCATTGAGAAATACATCGCCATAGCCTGTTGATCCACGATAGTTTGGTTCTAAAACAAGCCAGCCGTGTAACGCAGCTAATGGAGCGCAATTTGCTCCATTGTAATTCATTTGATTGACACTTGCGTAATATGGACCACCATGGCAAAGAACTAAGAGAGGACGATTTGTCGATTGAAGCTTATCGAATAGATAATATAAAATTCCTTCGATCGTTTGATTATCATCTCGATTTTTCCAAGAATAAACTTTCCCGTGAGGTAAATTTCTTTCGGTAAATAACTCATTGTGATTTGTTATTGATTGGGTCACCGAGAGTTCATCTATACGATCAATGATGTAAACTTTCATAGGTTTATCAAACGACGAATGAACAAATGCGATGAAATTCTTTTTCTTTGATGTCACAAGTGATTCATAAGTTCCATTCCATCCCAGATAATGAATTGAAGACTGATTCGCGTAAATCTGCACTTGTGTTCCTAATTGTCCAAGTATAAGAATATTTTCATCAGATTGACATGCATATCCGACAATATTAGCAGAAATATTTGCTCCTATGTGTTGCAATTCTCCATTCGATAGATCGATGGAATAGAGACGACCTTGAGTATTGCTCATTTGACTCTTTGATGATGCTAATGATAAAGTTAAAAAAAGAATTCGTTTTCCATCATTAGATAATTGCAAATCTTCCTCAATTGCTTGATTCTCGGCTAATTTAGTTAATAAAGATGAATTTTGCAGATCGAGAGAATACATTTCAAAATCTTCGATGGAATTTAACACATTTGATGCTGATGTAAGAACGAGTTTGTCTAACAATGGAACATAAAGCATTTCATTGATGAAAAATGCGATACTTCCTATTAAAGCGAGAGAATTGTTTTCGTTGAGATTGATTTCATAAATTCCGGTATTCATTTTATCATCTGTTCGAATTTGAATCACGTTTTTCCAGTCATCTTCATCGACATTCTCCTCTTTGTTCGCCGCTATTGTAACAATATAAAGAGCAGAATCATTACCTGACCAAGTAATTAATCCTTTTTCTCTCGTTTCGATAGCAAACTCATGTCGATCGCTGATTGTTATTTTATCGTGTGATATGGTGATATCAGATAAACTTTTAGTAGGATTAGGACACAGCAAATATTCCTTTTCTAATATTTGAACAAAGAATGTTATTTTTATCGTGTTACTCGATGAAATGTTAACGAGAATGAAGTTCTCTCAATAAGCAATAGAATCTATTAGAGCATTTCAAGTTGACAGCAGAGTGTGTTCAGAATTACGTAATTAAAGTAAAATTCATTTAGACAAACGTACTGCAGCACCTTCTCCTCTCCTCTATGACGTGTGTATTTGTGACGTGATAAACAGAATACAAAGCAATAATTTATACAATAAGTCAAGGTGGGAATGAGTAAACAAGCATTGTGTGGAGATCTATTCTTATCTAACTGTACGCCCATTGCATACAAACTATCAACATATAAATACAGCGGACCGCGTCTTCTTCTTCATATCATTCGACAAATATCATCATACAATGTCTCATCCATTTCTTGATGCAGGATTAGGTGCTTTCGCTGGTTATGAGCTCGGCCGTCATACTGGTATTGGCAATCCACTTATCGATGCTGGACTAGGTGCCTTTGCTGGCTATGAAATTGGAAATCAATTTGGTGGTGGATATGGTGCTCCATATGGTGGAGGATTTGGTGGTGGTTTTGGTGGAGGTTTTGGTAATCCATATGGATATGGTGGATACTGGTAGAACGAAACTGTTTTCTAACCATTTTGTAATATAATATTCGTAATAAATAAATTCGTGAATATACAGAAATAAATGAACTTGTCAGCGAGAACGAATATCGAGTACTTCTATTTTTATCGGAAGTACAGAAAGATAATGATGTATGTGCATACGTGGAAGAAGAAAAACATATTTCATACTTTAATTTCTTTTTATGACGTATCACGAAAAAGCAAAAATATCTCCACATCATATCTATACGTGTATCTTTGCTCATTATTTTTTCTCTGACGTCAATTTTCTGTACTACTCAGTACAAAAAAAGGAATGTATAAATACTCCGATATTTACACAGAACTACACTTCAAATATTCACACGATTTACTACTCAATTCTCAGCAAGCAAATGTCGTCCAACAACCAACAAGCTCCACTTCCGCGTATGTAGTCATCAGAGAGAGAGGCAGACATGAACGTAACAATATGCTTTCATTTTCTAGCTGCAAATTTCGGCAGTGAACAATGGGCCACTGATCCATTTAATCTTGCTCCATCCGCAGTTGCCAACTCAGGTATTAATGGTTCTGGAAACGGACAATCATCATCATATAAGGAACAAATTTATACTCTCCCCGGTGGTACTATGACTTACCAAGAATTTAGCGGTTGATCAAGAGATTCATTGAATGCTTCAAAGTTTAAGAAAAAAAAAAGGCTAAAATAATCACAATTGTATTTTTTTCATTAGATGTACTGTTTTTTAATAGAATAAACGAAATCGGTATGTTATTCCCTTCATTTCTCTTTTCTTTACTACATCGTGTAAATAACAAGTGTGGTATACACATGTTTTTACCTTTTTTCAAGGTCACATATTTTTCTCATTCTTTACGAGGTAGTAGAATCGTCAAGTTTACGTTTCAATATTAATGTCTGATTTGGTTAAATTGAAGAAATTTTCGATAGACCCATTAAGTTTCTCTAAATAGAATCAAACTTCAAGAAAAAAATTTCCAAAGAAAGTCACTGAAATCTTACTCATAAACTTGGGTTGGACTTGTCGAAAGATAAATATATAATAAACTATCAAACTAAGAAGTAAAATGATAGATGCAATGAGAAAACCAATATTCGGATAGGAGATAACGGGTGCGATGACAAGATAAATACTTATCAGTATAATAAATATAACCAGAGGTATAGGAACCTAAAAGATATGGTAATTTCTTTTCGGATAAAATTGGACGAAATATACCTTAATCAACCGAAGAACATCACGTTTTGTGAATTTGCAACAAAGTGTAGCGACAAATGTTAATCCGCAGAAAAGCCAAGACACAAAACTGAAATAATTGATCAGACCTTCAATATCACTCGGAATGCAATAGATTATCGCAAGAATCGTCTTCAAAAAACAATCAAATGAATCGAATTCATTCAACAAACAGACAAACCTGAAATATAATACCAGGCAACGGTGTTAATCGCTGTTTTTGTATATACGAAAATATTTCTGGCAAATATCCATAACGTGCACTAACCATACAATACCGAGCACTCGTATAAGTCAATCCATTTGCGCTACCCAATGCACTCAAGGCTATCAATATTGGTAATACACGAGCAACTGACCCTAATACCACTTCACCCCACGTCTGAAAAGATACTCATTCAGACGAAATCATAGAAACTCTTTCTAACAAAATAATACAAGTACATACCATAGCAACAGCGTTTGAACTGAGCAATGCAGATTTTGTCATTACTGTAAAATACGATATATTGGTAAGAACATACAGAACGATCACTATTGGCAGAGCCACGACAATTGATAACCATAAATTTCTATCGGGTGTTTAGAATTAATTAGACATAATGATTAGAGTTTGTAGGTACTTTTTCGGATTTTTCAGTTCTTCTGTTACTGTCGTTAAGCTACCCCATCCACTATAAGCCCAGAGTCCTGAATAGAAGGCAAGGGCAATTCTTAACGGTTTGTTTGTTGTACCTACTCGATTGTGAAAACAAATCATTTTGAAAAGAAGGCATTTCATTTACCATGAAAAGAATGTTTCAAATTTTCTGTATATCCTAATGAAGAGAAGACCAATCTTTTGTTTTATCTTAATCAAAGCAAACCTTGTCCAATTCGTACAAGACCAGCTGTCACAATAACCAAGATTGTCACTACTTTGCACAGAGTAAACACTATGTTTAGACGATTAGCTGCTGTAACACTGAACGCATTGACATTAGCGAGAACGACTAAAAATTAATAGGTTTAGAAAAGAACAAAAATGAAGAAAGAAAGAAACCAATAGCAAAAATAGCTGTCATTTTTACTAATTCAGCAGGTGGACCACAATCTAAATTCATAAGATCATAATTCATATGTCTCTTTTTCTTTCTATTTACTATCCATAATTCCCGAAAGGAAATACGTTGAAAATGTTAGTGTGAGAATAGCAGCGGTTGATGGTAGAATAATAAATGTATTTGCCCAACTGAAAACAAAGGCAAGTATATCACCCGTTCGAGCATGAACTGATCCAATTCCTATATTACAGATCGATTGATCAACAGTTCCATAGTTGATTGTACAATTACCTTCTTTCATGTAGGCTAATTCAGCACCACTCAGCGGTATTACTGTTCCGATCTCAGCATAACATAATGCACCTAGAATAAATGAATTCAACAATAAACTTGATCTCTTAGAATCGAAATAGTACTGAGTAGAGCCACGAATCCACATATAATCCATATTATGAGACATAAACCTACTGATTGTGTCTCTCTTAGTACACCTTTTGGTGAGATGAATATCCCAGAACCTACATGTAACACATATTTTCAACGAAGACAAAAATCATATTCTCTCGATTTACCAATGATCATGCCAATAATGAAAGTAATACCAGAAAATAGACCAATGTGCCGTTTTAATGTTATCTTTTCATTCAATGGTATCGCAGTTTTTTCTCTACTCTTTCGTCGTTCGTAAGTCGATTTTGATTCAACACGATTCATCTATGACTTTAACGGATAAATACAAGTGAGTAATAAAAAAAAGTCAAAATAAATTCTCTTTATACTTGTCATCTGTAGATTAATATATTGAAATCATAAACATGTAAAATAGATTTTTCTATTCTGCTGTTTTATTGATTGAGTGGAAGGGAAAGAAAATAATGGATATTTTATCTCGAAAGCGTCCATATTCTTTTCCTTCATCCTTTTGATTATTTTCATTTTGCCAAATGTAATTTCGCATTCATTCAACGAAATAAAAGAAAGTTATAGAAATAATACTAAGAGATATTATTTTTTTAAAATAACTATTAAACTTATCGACTGAAACTGAGATTTACATCGTCATTTTTTTTTAAGTACAACTTTTCCGTTGCATATAATACTGTAAAAAAACATAGTTTCTTTTCATTTTGTGTTGTCGGTAGACTTTTTTGTTAGAGAACAGGCTACGAATAAAACCATAATACATATTAACGTTTCATCATGCTCGATTCTTCCAAAGTAAATATCTCCATTAGATTACAGTTGTCTTGTAAGCATTCTCGTTATTTTAATGGACGCAACAGGTGTTATGGTGATGGTCATCGTAGCGGCAACTCTGATAGACAATCATCTAATCATAGAATGAAACACGTTCCTTTTGAAAAAACAGTTGAGTAATTCAATTTTCATATAAATTAGGGTGAGATTACTGATAATTTCTCTCTTTAACTCTTAGAAATGGCACACGAGAGGGAGATTATTGAAAACGATACTTTTGTGATTGAAATATTTTTCTTCGCTAAAAAAGAATTGTTGATCGGATCTGATGGAATTATCATATCTTTAATCAGAAATCGATTCTTAATTATTCAAGGAGATTTCTTCATCTGTTTTCATATCGTTGATCTTTTACCAATGAATTAAAAGAAGAATTGTTCTTTCTTTTCGAATATTCACATGAAACTGATCGAAAAGTTCGGATTAACGCTTGGAAATCTTCGATAATGTGCAACTCTTCCTTTCGGAATCTATGGAGAATTCGTGAGTTTTTCAGAGATACGATGTATATTTTGAAAAAAAAGAAAATCTTTGAAAGCCATTTCATTTCATCAAACGTTTCTATACATTTTTCGCAACAAAATCTCTACCAGGAAGGAATACAAAGAACTTCTTCTCCAATCAACAACATAAAGATTTTGTTCGCCAGCAAATGATACATTACGAAGACAGAAACATCAACCTTGAACACGAGAATCAGTTCTCCTATTTTAAATACTGGAACCAAAGTTTTTTGACGGATTTCAACTCTCATCTCTCAATGCCTTATTTAAACTTTCATCATAAAAAACATACCTATAATTATTTTAAATACAAGCAGAACGAAATGCACTTTGCAAAAGAGTTATTTTGAATAAACACAGCGAGTGAAAATTCTCACATTAAATTTTCCATCTGATGTTAATTGAACAATTCTTTCCTTGCACTACAAAGAATTATATCAGACGTACATATCATGTGATTCACTCCATCAAACGCAGCAGATTTAACAAATATAGGTCTACTTTTAATCGATCCACAAGAAAAACAATGTCCATCTACTTAATCATATCACCATCATCACTAAATAAAAGAAAAGTATCTTCAAATGATTTAGTAATAATAGATGTCAAATATTGTCTTATATTAATAAGATGAATTGGCTTCGAATCATCGTTGTTTAATTTGTAAACGGAATACTAACATCAGTACATTAAGATTTTCTTTGATTCTATTCTATTGATGATTAGTCATATCATCACCGCAGTATACACTGTTAATGGTAAATCTCTAGTCAAACGACAAAATATTTCAATCTGTTCGATATCCAATGATCTTGAGGGCATGGTAGCGCGAAATAATGGCTGGAAATTTGTTGATAGATGTAATTGAGAACTAAGCAATTCTTTCTTGTGTTGACAATTACATTATCGAAATAAAATGCGCAGATAGTGCACTAAACAATCTTTCCTATGACGTGCGTGCGTGTGATGTCAAACAGAATACATATCAATACTTATACAGTGACTCAGAACACGAGTGAATCGATGGGCGTAATAAAATTACTTATTTTTATCTATCTATGGACGAGTGATTTACCTATACGCCCATCTCATACAAACAACGAACATATAAATACAACGAAGCACATCTTTTTTTCATATCATTTTCATTTCATTTTGACGATTATATATAAACAAACGTTGATACAATGTCTCATCCATTTCTTGATGCAGGATTAGGTGCTCTCGGTGGTTATGAGGTCGGCCGTCATACTGGTATTGGCAATCCACTCATCGATGCTGGACTAGGTGCCTTTGCTGGCTATGAAATTGGAAATCAATTTGGTGGTGGATATGGTGGAGGGTTTGGTAGTGGTGGTTTTGGCGGAGGTTTTGGTACCCCATATGGATATGGTGGATACTGGTAGAACGAAACTGTTTCCTAATTATTTTGTAATATAATACTTGAAATAAAGATAACTAATTATATTTACCCAAGACTGAATACTTTAGGAATTGTGTAGTTATCTCTTACGAGGGAACCACCCGAGGTGCCAAAAAAAGCTTTATGGCTCGGAGTGTGATGGGTAGGTAGAGCACACCTAGGTATGATATATCCTAAGTTGGTTCGTGCGCAAGCTGGTTTTAGCAAAAGTTATCAATTTTTCAAGGTACAAGCGATAATTAAACCGAATAATGGAATTGTTCCAAGAACGAACGCGTAAAGAACTTCCAGCTTCGTCATCACTTACGTATGTTCAGGAAAATGAAATTGCTGATCTGTTGTTTAATGTATTCGAGTCCATATGGACAAGCACGTCATACAATGAAGAAAATGAAATTACCCTCGATCATAATACAATGGATAATGAAATTGAGGAATGCGAGGGAGATATGGATTATGAAGCAAAAGACGAAGAAAATCCTGTGTTTAAATCATTTTCTTTGTCATACATGAAGCGAGCGCTTGATAAATATTATGCAATTAATCCAAAAACGGGAAAACGATCTCATATATAGAGAAATGTTCGGAATAAATTTAGAAGAATCAAAGATCAATCATATATTCCCGCTTCCGAGACTATATTGAGAAAGGGGGAACGAAGAAACGAAATGTGGAATCAGTAGACGACTACGTTTATAACCACTTCGAGCGTGCTCGGGATCTTCTCTGTGCAGTACATGATATTGATTTAAAAAGATGGGCTGTACGAAAAGCAAGGATGATGTCATTGCATGGTTTCGTGGCGTCAGATCATTAGATCTTGAATTTTAAACACAAACACAATATTTGCTCGAGAAAAATTATAAAGGTTAGGAAATAAATCATACCAACCATACGAAAGGCTTATATGATAAGTTGATCTGTAAATCGCTTCTTTTCTAGGTAGTAACAAAGCGTGAGATCGTCAATGAAGCTGAAATTAAAAAATCAGCTGATCAATTTGTTTCTGAAGCTAAACCATTGTTACCTTATTATAATGAAGATTTCGTATTAAATACAGATCAAGCAGGACTTGAGGGTGAGTTTCCCTCAACTCGAACTCTCTCATATCAAAGAGAAAAGACGACACTTGTCACCGTACGTTCAGTAAATGCAACTACTCATAGTTATACGGTTCACCCGACGATCACCATGAGTGGTAAAATCTTCGGCCCTGTTTATATATGTCTCAAAGAAGTAAATGATCAAATGAGCGATAATATTAAAGCAAATCTTCCGCAGTTGAAGAATGTTGTTGTTACCTGCAGCGCATCAGGAAAATTAACTATCTCATTGTAACGGAAAAGAATGATGTTGTGAAGATGGTATTAATATGTTTTTCTTGTTGTTGTATTTTATTTCTTCTTTATTTTATTATTTGTGATCACAAAGACAGATTGGAGGAATAGCACTATCGCTATTCTTCAATGTAGAAGATATTAACTACATTGTATCATACTCCAAAATGTATCGTATACNGATTATCTGGATTAATAAAACATAAATATGTGATATTTATCTAAATAAATAAAGAATAAATGAAAATGAAAATGAAAATGATTCTATATTTTGTATTTACTATGTTTGGTTGTAACATAATAGGTACCGATTTTTCTTCAAATTGATATTTAATACTATGATTAGTATTATTATTTGATGGTAATTCAAAAGAAATAAGAAATTTACTCTCAATAGTCGATGATAAAGTATATGAATTGTGACAAGGACGTGTGACAATTGCGTCAATATGGCAAGTACCCATGACAGAAAAGCTTTTGACATTTCTGTTTTCTAAGTGATACGTAAAGTAGATCGCACTCGATACAGAAAGAACAAATATGGACATGATAGTAATCATCATCACTAGTGTACTACTGCAAAATTTCATATTATCATCATCAGACAACATGCTGAAGAATAAAATAATTCGAATGTCATCGGTTAGCATTTTCTATGAACATATAAGCTATTTTTATTTTGCTTAGAACGGTCACGTTTCTTCATACGACTAACTCAAAAGGTCATGAGATAGGTCAAAGTTATTGTGTAAAATATACATTTTTACCTTGTCAATCCGAAATAGTCTAAAAAATTTAAAAAATCAGAATAATATTGGATCAAAGACAAACTATTTTGAGAAAATTAATAATTGAAATATATAAGAAAACATCAACGAAAGAAATGTTCGTGAAAAGAATTAATTGAGAAAAGTTTCTATCTTTTATTTTATCTTTAACTGAACAATGTAAAAGTTTTTTCTTAAGTTTACTTTCAATAATACCGATACATCGTCCTATTTATTCGTTCAAAGAGCATTATAAACACACTTCTAAGAAGAAACAAGAAAAAAGTGTTAAAATTAGAATATTCTCTCTATTCTTTCAATACAATACATCAACATTAGATTGAAAAGAATTAATGAATTTAAAAAGAGAAAAAAATTATCTATTTGAATGATTCAGTTTATTGTTTACTTATAAGAAATATCCTTCATTTAACTCTGTCTTATTCAATTTTGAAGATATGTCAAACGATAATTTACATCATTCATGTTCCAACATTTTTCACTACTGAGTTTTTTTAAATTTCGAATGCATTGTATAGGCAACTAAGCTAAATTCTAAAGTGAAACTACATCAATCAATAGAGTACTCTCTATTCTGTCCAAACATGTATGAAATAGACGAATAAAATCAGAAAAAAGAAAACGAGTTAAAATTAATGAAATAATCTGTATACATTTTAATTCTATTAAAAATAAAAGTTTAATTCGTTAACTATAGGATTTATTAGACGAATGCTGATTAAACTGAAAATTATTCTGATCTTTGAGGTATTTTTAACATTTCACTAATTCACTATATTTCTTCCTTGCAATTCCTTCTTATGCTTCAATTGCATTAGAAATTCTTTCACCGTTAAATTATCACATCAATCTGCTTTCTTGTTGCATTAATATCCATCTCAGAGCAAGTACTCAGATGCAAATAGGCATCGGTGACCTTAAAGACATTTTTTTCGCAAGCTTATAGGTGAAAGTTGTTAGGAACATTGAAAAAAGATCTTTTTCCAAAAAAATTTTGCAGATTTGTGACATAATCATGACAACCACTGGAAATATATCGAATATTACAGATGTATCTTCATATTTAAGCGATATTAGTTTTTTGGGTTATCATAGTTTATTTATGGTTATTCTTGGTTCAATATTCAAGGTATTAACATTCATTGTCTTATGTAGATCAGCATTTCGTAATACAAAAATACGTCCAATAATACATTATATGCGTGCATTAGCATTAATTGATTTTCTCGGATTATATGGATGGAATCTTGACAATTATTTCGGTCTTATACAAGGTTTTACATTATATTCATCATATACAGTTATATCATGTAAGATTTTTTCATTTCTTAATTATTTTACAACTCAAGTATCGGCATGGTTACATGTTTTTATTTGTTTTGATCGATATTTGTTTTTAAGTCGTACGCAACCGAATACATGGTTTAATCGATCAAAAAGTGTTCTAATTATCATTAGTACTATTATTGGAATTTTTATTCTTTTTAATTTACATTTTCTCATATTTGTTTGTTATGAAGATGAGAATGATCAAGTTAATATGGATTCAAAATTCTATCAAGTTTATCCATTATATAGTATAATACATATGTTTATTTATAGCATTATCCCATTTATACTGATGATGATATTCAGTAGTATTTCGTTATATTATCTAAGTAAAGTACGACAAACAACTACAATACAAAATTCGAAAATTCCACATCGATCTATATCAATAACACTTATAAGTACTAGTCTTGTTTTTATTATAGTACGTACACCAACATCAATTTGTTATGGATTCTTTTATGATAATCTTTCTGAAACTCTTTTGGGTCGTCGTATCATAAATGTTTTTGATTCGCTTTTATATACATCTCCTATCTTAGATTTTCCTCTTTATCTAATTACATTTAGTGAATTTCGTCGTGAATTTATTCGTTTATTCAGACGAAACCGAACTGTTTTGTCAATCGTCACACAAAATACACAACATTTATAGAAAAAAGAAAAGAACACATAAAAATTCGTGAAATCTTTTGTCTAATTCTTTAAATAAAATATATCTGTCAATGTATACTGCTGTTGACGTTAAACATAGAATGAACAAAGTTAAAAAGGGAACGAGTAATTGTTTTATTTCATTCTATATTTTTCCTCTAATAGATGATACTATAAGTTAACATAAAAACGAGGGTGTGGGTGATGAACTCGAACATTTTCTCTGCATTTAGTTATCATCACGTGTCTCATTGCACAGTGATTATTCCTGATGATATTGTCTTAGCTTTTCTCTGTCTGTGATTATCTTGTGTCTCCTCTGGATCTCTCTCTCACTGTCCAGAATTTATCTCATTGTTGCGAGCAATATCATGTGAATCTCTTTGTCTNTCCTACGGTCGGCCACTCACGGCTAGCCGTTCCCATGCGTACTCATTTTACTATCTTAACTTCACACGGACGAAGATGCGTTCCGAAAATGAGCTCATTTCGGAAAATCAATTTATAATCAAAAACTTAGAAGCGTAACATAGGTATATGATTCTCTGGAAAAGGTTTCAATCTTCTCCCCACCACGAGGAATCTTAAATAGCTGCCACCTATGTTCGTACAGAGCAACGATTAATTTCTGACCAAGAAATCTTAAAGCTCTATAAAAATCACAAAGTTTGTTCTTAAAACTATTATTCTGCAAATCGACGACTAGTCGCTCGTCGGCCTCCTTCCGGTCGGCCACTCGCGGCTAGCCGTTACATGTACATTTTCACTCTTTCATTTAGTCTACAGCCACTTTTGAAAGTAGTCCATTCATTCTCCTCTATTCCTTCTTTAAAAGTCACCCTCTTTTTGCTACTGTGACTCACGAAGACAACATTTGACCAGCGAAACAGTATTTTGAATGACTGGTATCAAATGATATTCGTATAGTATAGCTGTTTATAAAAGTGTGTGATCTCATTAGTATGTTGATGACTATGGAGATCCAGCGATCGGACGTCAGTCAGCTATTACATTTTGTTCTACATATTGCCGCTTAAAACATTATCGTCTAAAAAAATTGATTCTTTGTCGCAAAACACGGGCCAGAAAGTGTTCATGAAAAAACTAACACCAGATTCGAGATCCTCGACCTCGATTACCCTTCGGTCAAACTTTGTCCTACACTAGGGTCACTGAATAGTCACTATCGAACAGTGATGTGAAAGAACGAACGAACGAACCAACATCAACTCTTTTTTTTGTAATATCTGCTCGACGCATAACCCCCCTTTCAGTAGAGGGAACAAAGTGTCACCGAGATACTTTGATTTTCCAAGCAGAGTATCAAATCGAGTATCTTTTCAAAATCGCAAGTATCACGGATACTTTGCTTCTGCTTATGATACCCAATATTAAAAACACTGGTCGTGATTTGGATCAGGTAATATTGTAAGAAACCAGAGATTTCGAGGTTTGTATAGAATATAGATTATGTGTATACTATTTTTAATTGTAACGGACGAAATAGATGCGACTGTTCGCTATCGCGTCGTGAGGAGGAATGTACCCATTGCTGGTGATATGATACACACTGTTCAAATGAGCGTGTGCTCGACAGGAGTGATAGTTGATGTTCATATGCGATTCAGTCGAGAAGCAAGCAAGTCATAACGATGAGCGAAAATTGTACGCCAAGTTATAAACACTCAGAAGCAACGAACAGCAAGAACGTCGGCGATTGACTGCGAAGCGTATATTATCTTCTAAGGGTGAAAAAGCTGATTTGAATCACTTTAGAATCAAATAGATCACAAAAATCGCTTAAACTCATTTTAAATCACGAAAATTACAAATCGCTTTTCCCCTCTTGTGGTTTAATCTTACGGACATGAATATTTTATTTGTTTATCTTTTTTATTGTTTTTCTCGTAAAAAAAAACACATTATCATTATTGCGAAATACATTTTTAAAAGTAAAAATGAACGTAGATTGATGAAATAAAAGAAAATTTGCTATGGAAATGAGTAAACGAACTAAATCTATCAATGTTATGTCACAAGAAAACGATACTTTTTTTGCGAAGACTTCATCATAAAATGAGTAATTTATGATTCTGTTTGATAGTCATTAAATGAATTTCTTATCAATGATTGTAGCAAACGGGAAAAAACCAACGTGGATTTGAATGAATAATATGATGAAAGGTTATAAGACTTCATTTCTCACGTATTAAAAATTTGTCCACACAATTCAATCCCGGATTTCAATATGACCGACTGCAAATCAAAATGGACAAGTTTCTTGATCTGTTTGCTTTCTCTTAGTGTCTTATTCTTTGTTCCATGCGTAGTCATCGGCTCAATCTACGCTGATTCATATAGTAAAGATCGAAAAACACAAGGTATTCTTACAGAGACAACATGCCTTGTGCTCAATTACACATATTATGAACATACCTGTTCTCAATGTTCTTATGATAGTTCATCTTATGAGCAGACATATTCGAAATACACCTGTGTTGATGAATATTTTTCTCTATCGTATCCTATTCACAATGGTACTTCAATCACCAGTACTTATACGACAAAATCTCGAGCAGGAGGACATCGACCAATAAAGGTAAGAGATTCGATTTTCTAATAATATTTTGAATCTTTCATTAAAGATTGGTCAAAATCATTCCTGCTATTATCATTCAAACCATGTTTCGTCCATTACTTTGGATTTTCCAAGTACAAAATTAGCCTTGATTTTGTTATGTATTTGCTTTGGAATCATTGGTGTTATTTGTGTATTACCATTGATTTGTTTAACTCTTATGCATGGACTTCCCACATCGTGTGAACATTGTTCATACGTGTCAAATATGTGTGTTTCAGTAAGAAATACGTGTACAAAACTACGAAAAAAGATATGGTACAACCATCGAACGTAACTTTTTGGTCGACAAACAATAGTATTCGGTTTGAAATTCATATTTTAAATGTAATTTTTGTTTATTCATCTCACAAATCTAAGCATTACCTTCAAATTAATTAAGAAACTTTATACTAACATAGAATGCAACAAATATTGAAGACATATAGTTCTGTCAATAGGTCAATTGTACAAATAAAAATCGAACAGTATAGTGTGTGTTCAATTCACCCATAAAGCGCCCATTGGATATTGCAATGGCATAGAATTTAGTGTGGTCAGAGTTGTAGTAGGAAATCCATAGTAATATCCTGGACCGAACGGAAATGCGGACAATGTAGCAGCTGTTGTTGTGCAAGATGGTTGACCTGATAAAAATGCAGCTACAGCTCGAGCAAAATGTCGACAATCGTTGAGTCCAACTGTATAATTACCAAACTTTTGTATTTCATGTAAAACAAACAATTTCAAGTCACCGGCTCTTGTATTCGATGTTCTCACATGCCTTCGATCAGGTTTCCAATAAGTACGATCGATTTCGATATAGACTGGTGAATAATCATTTGGAACAATATCAGCAATCAGATGAACTTTGAAAGTTTGCCCTGAATCAGTTTGAAACACGACAAAATTATGACGAATCAAAGTTTCATACACATAAAATCGACGAATGATCATTTCATCGTGAAGGTACGGCGAACAACGATATTGTTCGATTTTTCGATAATTAAATTGATTATTCGATGCATTGACACCGATTAGATTCAAACTAGCCGCTAAAAGTCCTATGCCTTGCATAAACGCATCGCGTGATTGTTGAATCAAACTCATGTGTTGAAACCTATAATAAGCAGGAAAACAATACAAAACTATTCTGATATGTCAATTTCAGACATTTGAGAATCAACTATTTTTACCCTCTAGTATTCATCATCATCATAGAATCGAACTTGAAGGACCAAATAAGAAAAATACCGCATACGTTTTTGAATCAGATTGATATTTGGCACACATTAATTTTTTTCTATGTGTTTGTTTATCTTTCCTTCGTTCTCTCTTTTGCTTATTTCACTATTTGTGGTTGATCGAATATTCGTAATTGACGTTAAACATGACTCTATTAATGCATAAACGATTCTCTCATACACGGTTTTCTTATTTTTCATATAGCAGAAGCATATGAATGATAGGTGTACAGTTGAACTCAAGATAAACGAGAAAAAGAATCCAATCGAAATCGTCCTAAACCAGCTTCGTCATCAATACAATCATTCACGTAAATACGGGCGTATGAGTATCATTTATTGTTTTTCGAATCTAATTATCACACGTGCGTCTTCCTACATACAAGGAGAAAATAAAGTTCGCAATTCATTTTTCTTTTTCCTGTATCTGGACAGAACGAATGAAATTATTTGGATTCAGCGAGTAAAACTGAATATACGTGTTAAAGAATTTTAGAGCTGTCGATGAAAATTCACTCGAATATCACGATTCTATTTAATTGAATGATATTCAGTGAATAGAAGGAATTTGCAAGATGACCTAAAGTGACCTATTTTTCTGAATGTCATATGATTAACAATCATTATAGACATATCATTTCACGTGTCTCTCGTTTTACTTGTTTGGTGAAATTACGGAGTGTTTCATTCTTTGTTTATGAAAACCATGAGTAGTTCGGTTAAAGAGACAACGACCAACAAGCGAAATCGAATGAAATTCGAAAATAATTTCCTCAAATCTAAAGACGATAAAATCAAAGACAAATCTACACGATCATCAGTCGGCGAAACAAAATTAAACGAAATCATTCACGATCTGAATGATAATACACTCGAAAATGAAGTTGTTCAAATCGATGGTCATTCGAAATGGATAAAAAAGTCTCGAAAATTCATCGTGCATCTAATGGAACAACCAACGTTTCATTATGCGATTATTGTCTTGATTATTCTCGATTTAATCATCGTCTTCGTCGAACTTATTATCGGTAAGACGAAACTTTCTCTTCCCATCACATTGTCATAATACGTCGTTGTTCGTTCAGCTCAATTATCTTTACCATGTTTAACGGATGATGAACTGGAAAAATACAACGTCACTGAACAACGATCAGAATGTTTACTTTCTCCATCGACATCCACCGAAAATGCTGAAACAGCTTTGTATTATGTATCGTTAGTCTTAATAAGTATATTTGTTATTGAAATCTTGTGCGCATTCTATGGATTCGGCTGGCGTCGATATACGAAATTGCTTTATTTACTCGACGCGATTATTGTTATTGCGTCGTTTATTATGGAGGTTTATTTTCATTTTGGTAATATCGGAAAGGCTGGACGAGCTGCAGCAGGTCTGGTGGTTCTACGTTTATGGAAAATCATCCGAGCAATCCATGCCATTGCGCATTCAATGGCTTTGAGAAATCATATGATTGTGACAGAGATTGAAAAAGCTCGAAATATATTGAATGAAGAAAAAGTTCGCGCTGAAAATGTAATTCGAGTACAAAGTATGGAAATTCAAGAACTTAAGAATATGTTATATAACCGAAAACGTTCGAATAGCGTCATTTCACTTAGTTTCTAAATGTTATTTTCATTTGACACTAGTGGTGTAGCTAGAAACAAATTGCAGGGGGGGGGGGGGGAAATACGTCCTTT